AGGGAAAGCATTCCAGGTAGAGCGAACAGCAGGTACAAAGGCTCTGACCCCAATGGGCTTGTTGGAGGATCTGGAAGGTGTGGCCCGAGCACGCAGGTGAGAGGGAGAGTGGAAAAGGAGTGGCATTCCATAGGCAGACTGCAGCCAAAGCACATAGGGGACTGCGGGACCATGAAAAGGAGTTTGACTTTGACTCTAGGTACCACGGGAGTAACATGATCAGATTTGTGTTTTGAAAATGCTGGCTTCTGAGTGCAGAATGCATTGTAGGGTGATAAGAGAGGAACCAGGGAGAACAGGCAGGGAGTGGGGGTATTACCATAAGCCAGACAAGAACTGATCATGGCTTGGAGCAGGGTGGGGGCAGTAGGTAAGTGGGACAGCAGATGGACTGGAGGGATGTTCTGGAGGCAGAGCCAGCAGGACCTGCTGATGAGAGGCAGGTGTGAGGCTGAGAGAGGAATCCAGAAGGCTCCCAGGTGAAACCAACCCTGTGTTTTGGCCACCTCTAGGCCCTAGAGTTGGTGGGGAGGACTGGGGAGACAGAGGATAACAAGAAACCTTTTCCCTAGCCCCACGTAGAGCTCTGGGCTCAGAGATTGTCCTATTGCACTCCTAGATCATCAGGATACAACCCTCTCCTGCTCTTCCTCCCACCTCCCTGGGCCAGGCTGCGCTTTCTCAGCCTCCTTGGCCAGTTCTCCCCTTCACGCCAACCTCTGAATGGCTGGAATATGCCAAGGCTCCTGCTTAGCTCTCTTCACTCCTCCATTGATGTGCACTCCTTGGGAAATCCGTGCTGTCTTCTGGCTTTGAAAATCACCTGTGTGCTGAATACTCCCAAGTTTATACCTCCATACTAGACCTCTGCCAGGAGTTTCAGACTCATATACAACTGCCTACTCAACATCTCCTCCTGAAAGTTTATTTAGTCAGGTCAGACTTAACACGTCCAAAAGCTAAACTCCAGACTCTTCCCCTCAAAACCTGCCCCTCCTGGACTCTCCTCCATCTCAGCATATGGCATCTCCATCCTTTCTGTTGCTTAAGCCAAAAACCAAAGAAACCCCTAGACACTTTTCTTTCTAGAACAAGCCACATCCAAATCCATCAGCAAATCCTGTCATCTCTATTAGCAAAAAATGTCCAAAATTCCACTCTCGTCGCGACACCTCCCATACATTGTTATCTCTCACCTAGATTATTGCAGTAATCTCATAACTGGTCTCCCTGGCCATCCTACTGTCTGGTTCCAACACAGCAGCCAAAGCTATCTTGGGAAAACTAGCTCAGATCATGTCATGCTACTGCTCAAAGCCCCCCAGTGGTTTGCTGTCTCTGTCATTGCCACAGTGCAATATGCCTTTGCACTTGCCATTCCCGCCACCTGGTTGTTCCTCCCCCATATATCTGAGCACCTCACCTGCATCAGGTGTCTGCTCAGACATGAACTTATCAGCGAGTTCTTCTTTGATCACCCTATTTTGGATATTCCCCTCCTCTGAAGCCTCCCGTGGTGGTTATCTGTGTCTAATATACTGCACTGTTTGCTCTGCACCTCTTTCCACTAGAATATGTGCTCTGTGATGACAGAGATTCTTATCCCTTATTTTCTGCTCTGTCCCCTCTACCCAGAACAGAGCCTGGCACATAACAAGCAAGCACTCAGTAAGATTACTGAAGGGCTGAATGGAATTAGGGGAAGGCCTATAGTCCTCAGAAGACAGCCTGGATCTGGAATGAAGGCCTGACTTCTAGTCCACTGTTAGCTTTGACCCTAGTTATGTGACTTCTGGGCCTCGGGTTGTCTGTAGAGGGTGGAGAACTCCTGAGATCCTTTGCAGCAGCGGCATTCTAGAATGATGCTTGCCCATAGCCTCTCCTGCTTCCATTTGGCTGAGGGCAGAAGGCAGGACCCGGTGCTGTGGGAAGGGAGACTCTCCTTTCTAGTCAAGACCTGGGTGGAATCTACACTGGCTTGGAATGAAAGGCAAATTTCTGGCTTGGGCTTGGCAGGGCCATGAGGGTCCTGGGTGAGGGGGAATGGGTGAGGGGGTTCAGTCCCACCTGCTGCGTGGGGACAAGTAGAGGCCTGGCCACTAGGACTGGGCCCTTCTTCATGAGGCGTTGTCTCAGCAGGGATGTCACAGGGATCACTGCTGTGAGGGAGGAGAACCTAGGCAAGGACCGGGGAGAAGGCAGGACTGGAGAGGGCACACAGGCCCTCAGTGGGCACTGGGTGGTCAAGCCTCAGCCAGCCCCAGGACCTCACAGCCAGCACCGACTCTGGGACAGAGCAGCAGGCCTTTTGGCTGAGGGAAGCCCAGTCCTCCTCCCACTTCTGGGCCTTGCAACAGCTCCCTGCTTGTTTTCCCCAAAATAAATGGGCTGAGCATATTGGGTCGGCAATAACCCCTTGAAATCAGTTGTTATCACAGTTAACAACCAGTTTGGCTTCAGTTCAGGCTGTTAACTATCAAACCACTAAGTGCCGGTAATGATTGATTCCTGGCCAGTTGCAGCTTGAGTGGGCTGTAAAACCCCATTAGCTAGGGCTCTGCGGAGGCAGCAACTCAAAGATAAACACGTTGGTGGGTGCTCTAGCCCGGCTGAGTCCCACTGCTCTGGGCTCAACTCTCATGGGCCCCTGGCCTGGGGTCCTGCTGGGAGTCAACCTCTTCCCAAAGCCTCAGGCAGGCTCAAGGATGAGATACCATCCCTTCTGTCCAACCCTACCCCTCTCCCCAGATCCAATCATCTCTCTCCGGCTCTCTGGACAGCTCACCTCTTCTCCCTAGATGCACACATGGCACAATTCCACCCCCACTCCCTGGGGACTCAGGCCTCCCCAGCCTGGGGGCTTGAGGATTAGCTTTGGCCTCGTCAGTGACCAGCCTTGGCCCAGCCTGGCCTCACTTTGTGGCCCAGGATCACAGGCGGAGAGCCTGACATTCCACCACCACCCCCAGACTCCCTCCTACCCTGTGGCTTCCCCCAGGAATTGCTCTCAAACAAATGAAATGTGGGTAATTACTGGGCTGGGGGCTGGACAGGCGACCGTGCAGATAAAAGCGTTTCCTGGACGGTCCCTTCATTTGCATGGCATCAGAAGCTGCTCAGAAGGTGTGACTTTTCCCACAGTGAGACCCCAGCTCCTTGCACAATAAAGCCAGGCTGCTCACCCAGAATTAATTAAAGGGGGAGGGGAGCAGAGGAGGAGGCACTAAGAGCTGGGGGAGCTGGAGAGAGCTGTCTAGACCCCCTTCCCCACATCCCCAGTGTCTACGCACCAGGAGAAACCCACTCTGTCCAGAGCCCCTCACCTGCTCTAGCAGACACAAGAGGTAGGGTGATTCCAGGGCTTTCCACTGAGCCCTGAAATTTCTGATCCACCTGCATGGGCTGAGCCTAGGACTTGGGCCTGCAACTCTGGGAGGCCACATGGTTAGGAGCTGCCCCCCATCCAAAGTAGATGCCAAGTGAAGTCCCAAAGAACAGAGACCTAGTTCCCTATGGCTGTGGTCCCCAAGCCCTGGGCCATGGACCCATACCAGTTGGTGGCCTGTTAGGTGGGCTGCACAGCAGGAGGTGAGCAGCAGGTGAGGGAGTGAAGCTTCATCTGTATTTACAGCCGCTCCCCATCACTCATCATCCCCCCCTCCCTAGTCTGTGAAAAAATTGTCTTCCATGAAACCAGTCACTGGTGCCAAAAAGGTTGGGGATCGCTACCCTATGGGACCAGCCCAGGGCCACCCTCAAAGAAGGCAGTGGAAGCAGTCCAGATGGGAGGCCTCAGTTATGAAGGCTAGGCCAGTTCAGAGCTCCTCAGAGCTCAAGAGACCCGTCCCTGGGCTTGGGCTCTCCCCGGGTGTGGTACGATGCCAATCTCACAAACACGCCCACACTGCACACACTGTGGCCTGTCCAGCACTCCCGCGGCATGACCCGGCCATCCTGGTTCCAGAGCAGCCCTCTTCCATGGGCTAGTCCCTGAGAGATGGCCTGGCGCTTCTCCCCCAGGCCACGACTGCCTTGAGCTCTGTGTTCCGGGCCCATCCTACGCCAGCTCCTCTCCGCTAGGCCAAGTCTGCGAGGTCGGCAGCCTCTTCCTGGACAGCAGTTTGTTCTCTGGGCTCTTCCGCAGCACTCGAGCTCAGCACCTTCTGCCCATAGCTCTCTAACCAGATCTCCCAAAGTTAATACTGTTCCATGTCACAATTGTCAACATCAGCCTTGGCTGTCCCCCTTCAATTACCCCCATTTTGGACCCTGGCAGCTGCTCTTTTCTTTCATTTTCTGGAGCCTGATTCCTCAGAAAGAACCAGTTCTGGGATCTCCAACCCATCTCCCATATAGACCTAGGCACACAGAGAAAGGCACTTTTTAAAAGACTTGAATCCATCATTACAGCTCTGGTCCTAGCATGGTCATCATTTCTGGCCCTGAGGTGGCTTGAGGAAGTGTTAGCAAGGACTCCTGTGAAGAGCTAGGAGGGCCATGTCTGAGCGCTCCAGGACCAGCTAGGAGCCTCTTCTTGCCCTTTTCCCTGCTTCTATCCTCCTGGGAAAACCCCTCTGAGTGACAGTGATGGGGACAACTGACAGGCATGGGTTCTTAGGCTGGAGGGAAGCTAGTCAGAGCTGGTGCAATCTGCTGCATCTCCCAGCTGCCGCCAGCTGGGGCAGGGCAGGTGGAAAAGGGGCAGGACTCACTCTCCAACACACACTTTTAATATGCAAGTTAAATAAATATTTCAATCATTTAATAGCAACTAGTACACAACCACCTCCCACTGACACCCAACCCTAGAAGAACTGGCCTGTGTCACAGTCCTTTCCTCCCAGCCCCACCTGGGGGTGCAGTGGTATCCCTGGCACCTGGCTAGAAAGCCCCCCACTCCAATGGAGCCCCCACTAAACCCCAGTCTAGGCCATTCATGGCCCTTCCTGAGAATTAAGAAGACAGACACCAAAGCCAAGTGGAATACAAAAATAGAGCCTCTCTTTTGTTTAAAAAAAAAAAACAAAACTGCAAAAAACCCAACAACAAACAATATCAACAACTGGAACCCCGGTCTCCCCAGCACCTCCCCAGCCTGCAGCAGCGCAGATCTCATCTGGCTTGAGTTTCTCTTCTGCTGCCCCCGCGAGATGCGGGGCTCGCGTCTGGCCTGTGCGGAGGGGCTGCGGGCGCCTATCGGGGCTCGGGGGCCCAAGTCCTCTGGCTGCCGCGCAGGCTGCGCGTGAAGGGCGGGTAGTTGAGGAACTCGAAGCGCAGGCTCTGCTCCGTGGTGTGGTGGCCACGGGGCAGCCGCTTCATGAAGTGGACCTCGCGCTGGTGCTGCCGCGTCTTGGAGCCCTTGCGCGGCCGGCCCTTGCGGGTGAAGGCCATGTACCAGCCCTCGTACTTGGCGTTCTGCAGCGCCGTGTAGTTGTTCTCCAGCACGATCTCCGTGAACACGCAGTCCTTGCCTTTGCCGTTGCTCTGCAGGTAGGGGGGCCAGACACAGCGTTACAGAGCCCCCCATCAGAGGCAGAGGGCAAGCGGCCCCAGACAGCAGGTGGGCACCCCAGCAGATGGCGAGGTGGGCAGGAGCCGCAGCCCCACCCCCTGCCCGGGCACCCGCTCTCTAATCCCTCACAACCCGCAGCCCACCCGGCAACTTCCTGTTCTCCCGGGCAGCAGTGACACATGGTTGTCTACAGAAGGGCAGGGCCCCAACGCAGAGAGGCAGCAAGTGGGGCCCAGAGCCTGCCTGCGCTGGCCTCCTGCCCACCAGTCTGGCCACCCATCTTCCCACCTGCCCCCCTCAGCCCCTCAGGACTCCTGGCCCCAGGGCAACCACCCTCTGGGGGAGGGGAGGCCTGTGAGGAGACTCTTGAGTCCCAAGCCCCAGAAGCCCAGGAAGCAGGGAGCTCCAGGCTGGAGAGGAGCCGTGACTAATGGGGCCATTTCAGAGCTCGGCTGAGGGGCTGGGCCTGCGGCTTACTGAACATTCCAAATGCTGGTACCATGTAATTGGACATAATAGCAAAGCAATTTGGCGATTTGTTAAAAAGATATATGGAATTTACCAACCCCCCCAGCCCCTCCCTAGCCTGCGTCTTCCTCTTTCACCTTTATGGCTTTTCTTCTCGAAAGCAGTTTCCTTCTCTCTTACTGCCCACCAACCCCCATCATTAGGTAACCCCAAGGTGCCTCTGTCTCTGCCCACCTTGTTGAGATCAGAGCACAAGACTGTCCCGGAGGAGCTTCCCAGGCCCCATGGCCTCACCTCCCTTAGGGACCTCACCTTGGCGATCAGCTTCCCCTTCTTGTTCATGCAGATGTAGAGGCCCGTCTCGGCTCCTCGGACTCGAACTCGGCTCCCAAAAGTGTCTGTCTCCACAATGAGCTTTGCTGTCCGGAAAGACAGAATGGCTATTGGAAGGCCCCTGACCCTGGCTGTTCCCCTTTCTCACCCCAGCTGGCCCACAGACTTGTCACACCCCAGCAGCAACTGCTCCAAGGGCCAGGTACTCAAACCCCGGCTCTGCTCCAAGCCCAGCTATTGATGTGCTCTGTGATCCCAAGAAGGGACAAGTTTACAGAGTGGGGTGAACAGGATTGTGGTTTCCAAACTGGGTTCCACAGAGGGGTCTTGGGGCCATGAAATTGAAAAGGCTGAAGCTCCATTCCTTCCACTCTTCTTTTTAAACCAGGCAGAAATGACTTTTATGTTGAGAATCCAAGTAAAATTCTTCTGTTTTTTTAAAGTTCTCAATTGGTTGCCCAGGCTAGAGTGTAATGGTGTCATCATAGCTCACAGCAACCTCCAGCTCCTGGGCTCAAGCAATCCTCCCACCTCGGCCTCCTGAATAGCTGGGACTACAGGTGTGCCCCACCATGCCCAGCTATGTAAAATTTTATTTGACCAGAGTTCCATGGCTAACCAAGAGATCTCTGAGGATCCTTCCAACTCAGAATATTATGTGCACATGCCCCACAGATCACTACAAACATCCACATGCAGCAGTGACCTCCAGTTCTGAGGCCAAAGATAAAAGCTTTCTCCCCTGTTTCTGCCACTTTAGGTTCTAACTCACAGTCTTGGCCACCTCCCCTCACTCCCCCTTGGGTAGCCCTGCTCTGCTCCGGTGATAGGGGTAGGGACAGTTCTCCCTACATACACACACATCACATACACACAACCCAAAGCCAGCTGCTTCCCAGAATCTCAGACACCTGCTGGGAGGATCCTGTCTCTTCCCCATGGCTTCCCAGTCACCAAGGTCTCTAGCCCCAGTGTCCAGAAATCAACAACTCAATTGTCTTCTCTGTTTTAGCCCCCCTTGCAGTTGGGCTTCTCATCCAAGTAAGCAAATCCCTTCTGTAGGCAAGGAGGACCACGAGGCAGGGGCTGAATTCTCTAGCTTCTCCCTGTTCCTCATCCCCTAGAAGCTGACTTGCCACAGAAGCCTGTCCTGTCCAACTCTCTAGGCAACTTTTGTCTTAGAGGCTGTCCCCAAGAAGGGAGTAGGGCTGATTTAGCTGTTTGGAGTGGGAGAGGGGCTGGCTGTCCTGCCCTTTCTACTGCAGAGCCCAGCCTTTTCTCTCCTTGAGAAAGCAGTTCTGGGACTTAGCTGTTCTGGGACATGTGGCACCTTCTTTGTCCCTGAAACCAACAGCAGGGTGGGGGACACCAAGGTCATCTAGGCAGCCATCCCTGCCCAGCCTGTGACTACCATGCTTCACACAGGTACAGTGCTGGGACCCAGTGGTCAGGTCCCCAGTCTGGCCCCAAATCGGGAGTCAGGGGAAATAAGCCTGTCACCCCCCCCCCCAGCCACTTGCTCTTGGACCTAGCCAGTGTGCTCATCTCTCTCCTGATCTGCTTTCCAGAGCAAGGAGGAGTTGCTTTTTAGGGCCAGGAAGGACGCTGACTGGAGAAGGGGTGAAAGGGTCCCCGTCTGAGGATTCTGGCCAAATGGGGCAGATAGGGACAGAGGAGGTGCCTCTGCTCCTTCTTGGGGCCCATAAAGAAGCAGTTGAGACCTCTCTGCTCTTCTCTCCTGACTCTTCTGTCCCAGCTGTGCATGGTAAGCCTCTGTTCTTGGGGCCTCCAGCTCCTACTCCTGCCCTGCAGGCAGGGACCAGGGAACCTGGGAAGCCTCCTCTGTGTCGGAGAGAAGTGGCATCAGACCTCCTCAGATGTCTGAAGACTGATTCCCCCACAGCCAGCTTGGCTTCTTCTTCCCTCCCCCAAATCCAAGGATGCTGGGCCATTTGCTCCAATGGAGCAAACCCTGGAGGAGCCAGGCATTCGTTGCCTTTCCTTGGAAGCTGAGAAGGGCAGCAAGCAGCCAATTTGGAGGGACAAAGGGACCATAGGCCAGCTCTGCCAGCCCAGCAGGGGAGCTAGGCCACCGGGCAGGCTGCCCCCACCCCCACCCCAGAGAGCCCCCACTCTCCTTCCTGGATGGATCTGGGGCGCTGGGGCCGAAGTTTACAGCGCCTTTCCCAACAGGGCTTTCGGAAAGCTTAACATTTTCAAACCTATTCTTCCACCCCAGTGACAGATTTATCCCAGGAAAATTATGTCTCCTCCTCCAGCTTTGAAGGGAAGTCAGCTACGTCCATGCAGAAAAAATGCAGTGAGACATACTCGATCCCCCAAACTGGCTCGAGAAGAGGAGAAAGTATTCAGGAAATGTTAAAAAAGGTGAAAGTAAGAAGAGTTTTAATCGCTCTGCCAGACGCGGGGGTCTCTCCAGAGATTCATAGAGAACAATCTTGAACCTCTTTTTTTAACATTTACAGACTTGCAACTCCTTTCAAACTCCACATCTGAAAAAAGGCTCGTTCTTTTTCTGTTTTATATCATTCTTCATTTTTCTTCTTAGCTCTTAAAATGCCTCACCTTTTTATTACATTTTAATAGAGTCTTCCTCTCTCCTTTCATGCTTGTTTAACTTGGTCATTATTTAAAGGTTTTTAAACTCACAATAATCGCTCTCTAAAAACAACACCAGCCGCCCAGAGGGCTTGCTTTTCTCTTGGTACATCCAGGACTCTGAAAATTGGCCCCGTTTCAAGGCAGGAATATTGAATGTTTTAGAAATCAATCAGTCTTCAGCCTCTCTGCCGGCAGTAGCTCCCTGCACTCACCACCCCACAGGGAGCCGGGAGCCCTTGCCTGGTTCCGGGGCAAGTGGGGAGGGCCCCTTTCCAAGCCTAGTCCCATGTGTAACTGACCCTTCTGATCAAAGTATTGAAAGGGTCACAGCATCCCCCTTTTCCAAGCTGGGAGAGTTAGGGGGATTTCACTCCCTTCTCTTTCCCACTCTCCTTTTTCGGGGCCCAGGCGACATATCCTCTTTCAAGAGCTTCCCTTAAACCTGAGCCTCCTCCCCCTGAACCCCTTGCCTCCACCTGCAGCTAGGGAGGGGTGTATGAAGGGCCGGGGCCTAAAGGGAGATTCCTGGATTCATTCAACTTCTGGGCAGGGAAGGGGGCACCTGTGGCCAAGTACTCCTGAGGTTATTTCCCCAGCTGGCCCTCCTGACACCTTTCTGCCTTAACTTTTTCCCTTCTGAGCTGGGGAGCCTGCAGGCCTTCGGCGGGTGCAGCTGGGGCTGGCGGTCCAGTCGCGGCAGGCCAGCTACCTTTACTCCCACGGGGTGCCACGCAGCGCGCCTTACCGAAGGGGTCGCCGTCTTCCGCCATGGCGTTGATGCGCTTGTTGGCCAGGACCTGCACGTGCTTCCCGCTGGTGCGGCTGTAGAGCTGGTAGGTCCGGATGAGGCGGCGGCTGAGCTGGTCCGTCACCAGGCTCTGCTCCCTCACATGCTGTGTAAAATTGGGTGAGGACTGAACAGTTACCTTTAGGAAATTGAAAAATACACAGCACGCCATTATAATGCTACTCCGCCCAGGGGCCTGAGTGGCCCCCATCGCCCACCCGGCATCCCCCTCACTGCCCTGGGCAGCCAGCAGAGGCTGCGGGGTCCCCCCCACATGCCAGCCCAGACCACCATCCCCTACTTAGGAAAGTCGGGCAGACCCAGCCCAGAGGAGGAGCCCGGAGGAGAATCTGGACCCACCTGTTGGGAAACACCCTGGGGCTCCCGGCCAGCCCAGAACAGGGAAGCGAGCTCCCTGCCCAACGCAGCCCCCCGGCCCGGGCCTTCCTAGAGGAGCAGGGCGCTTTTAAGTAGGGAGGCAGCGTTACCCGACCCCTGACATTTATAAAGACAAATTTACGGAGCAAATGTTCAGAGTGCAGAGGACCTGGGCACCCGACTGTTGGGCCAAACTGGCCACGAGTCTCCCTAGAGGGATCTGGAGAGGGTCCCTCTTGCAGTTGTCACCCGGACTCTTCCCGGCAATGAACGTCCCCTGGCCCCGGCTGCCCCCTCCCTCAGCGGCCAGGTGTGGCCGCCCATAGGGTTCCCTATCCACCCCATCCCTGGCGAGGATGCGTGGGAGACAGCGCTGGACTCCGAGACCTTGGGTTCTAGCCTCGCCACTCACTCGCTGTGTGACCTTAGGCAGGGCGATACCTCTCTGTTCCTTAGCTCTCTCCTAGGGGTAGTCGGGGCTGGATTTTTAAGGTTCCTTCCAGTCCCGCCGCGCTGGCCGCAAGATCGGTCCTCGTGCCCCTGCCCGACATTGCCAACCAGAGTCCCCCACGGGCCCGCCCGGCCCCCGCCTCTGCGCGCTGCTCCTTACCTGGGCTTGGAGGCAGAGAACCAGCAAGTGCAACAGCCTGTGGGAGACAAAAGCGGGCGGGAGAGAGGCGCGGGGTGAGCCGAGCGGGCGCGGCGGGCCGGGCCCTGCGGGGACGCGGGGGCGGCGGTACTCACAGGCAGCTCAGCGCGGAGCGGGGGCTGCCCATGGCGCGCGGCCCGGGAGCACCGAGAGCCCCAGCGGGATCACGCCGTCCCGCGGGCGGCAGCAGAGGGACGAGCTGGGGGGAGGCGGAGGGAGGTTCGGGTGCGGGAGCCCAGCGGCGGTCCCGACGCGGCTCCGCGGGTCCCGTGGAATGTCGTGCTTGCCGCGCGGCGCTGAGTCGCTCTGCGCCGCTGCGGGAGCCGGTGGCCGCTGGCTGCTCAGGAGCCGGAGCAGGCGGGAGGGTAACGGGCCGCTGGGTGGGTGGGTAGGTGGGAAGGGAGGGGGAGGGGTGGGGGCGGGGGGCGCGGCACCGGGCGCGAGGGGGGAGTGCGGGGCGGGCGGCCGGAGCCCGCAGCCCCCGGCTGGGAGCTGGGGCCCGAACGCAGCCCGGGGCGGGGGCGGGGCGGACCGGGGCGGGGCGGCCGACGGGTCTAGGATTGGGGGTCTGGGCTAGGGGAGGGGTCTGGGACCCGCAGGAGGGGCGGGGGCGGCCGGTGTGGGCGCCTCCCCCTATCCCTGGCCTGTCCGCTCGGGCGCTCTTGGGGCCCGGACGCGCGGGGATGGGGCGCCTCGGACAGCTGCTGTGCGGGACCCTGAGACCCTGAGCGGGGGCTTCGTGGACCGCCCAGTGCGCCCGAGTCTGATGGGGCTGGGTCTCGCACCACCGGCCCCGTCCGCTGCTGCGTCCGGCTACGCGGCCTGTCTCTGAGCCACCTACTGTGTGCTAGGGCTCAGCCTGCCCCTCGGAAGCGGCCGACGATACCCGTGGAAAGAACAGCTGTGCGCAGTGCGCGCCTATGCCACCGGACCCGGCTGAACACCCCGCCCTGCTAGTGGTCTCTCCTGTCTCGCTCAGTCTCCAAGGAGGCCCTGGGAGCGAGAAATGCCTCCCTCAGCCCCAACTTCCATTATCACTATCACCCGCGTCCCTGTCCCCAGCCACTAGCCTGAAGCTTGAGAGGAACCATGAGCCACCTATGTAGAAGAGGGAGCCCAGAGGTTCCTGGCAGGTCCCACAGCCACTCCCCTACCCCCAAAACCCAGCAGGCAGCAGGAGCAAAAATAACTATTCTCAGCAGCTTTTCCTGAGGGAAGGAACTTAGATCCAGACCACCCAGCCCTTTCCCCCTCAGAGTCCCATTATTTTTTCATTTCACAGGTATTTACACACCTACTGGTGCCTTGGGTCAAGGGGCAGGAGGAGGAGATAGGCACTTGTCTAAGCCTTTCCCAGCTCCTCACCTCATTGCTTCCTCCTGAGGTTTCTAGAAACCCTGAGCCACCACACTGCTTCTGTGGGAGCAGACTGTGGGCAGAGTGCCCTGGGACAGGTACTTGTGAGGAACAGGTAGAGCCACAGATGCCCTACCCAGCTGCTGGCTTCACTCACCACTTCCTCATCCCCACGGGCCCTCCGTACCCCTGGTGGTTGGACTGGAGGGCTTGGGGTGGTCCCACGGAGCCATTAGGCCAGAGGGAGCAGGCAGGCCCCTGTCCAGCAGCACAGCCAGGTTCTGCCTACCTCGAGGGTTTTGTGCCTTTCCCAAATCCCAGCCACAAGTTCAAACACCAAGGATTGTTTAGAAGGGAAGACAGAAGACTTGTCCCAAAATCTCATTCCTCCTCAAAGAAGCAGACTTATTGAGCCCACCTGCTACTCCCCTCCAAGAGTCTGTTCAGGAGGTTTTTGCCCACACACAGACCTGGAGGCAAGGACCATGTCTCTCTAGCTCAGAATCGCAGCTCAGCAGAGTTGTTCTGCAGTTAGTGTTTGTTGAATTAATGAATAATGGGGAAATTGGCTGAGCATTTAGATATCAGTCAGCCCATGAGCAACTTCCCCAAGGAGACTTGCCTTCACCGGCCTCCCAACAGATACTAGTCGGAAGCACTGCCACTTATCAGCACTAGTATCTGCTACAGGTTTGGCAGGCACTGTCTCCCTCAACCCCACTGGGGCGGGGTAGGTCAGGTGGGCTCCAGTGGCCACAGCCCAGGCCAGTCCTTCACTCTGCTGTTTAAGGCTTGAGTCACAATTTGTTGAGTTTCTGCCTCCCTCTCTGCCCTGCTCCAAGCTGGTAAGGGGGACGTCTGTTTGCTCACCATCTTAACCTCACACCCTGTACATGTAGATCCTCGAAAATGAAAATCTTTGTGTTATTAATAAATGAATGAATGAATGGAGAGAATGGGAAGCAGGGGACTGATGCTTCCTGAAAGGGATGGGACATCTCCCCACCATGGGCCCAGCCCTCTGAAAATAAGTCTCATGAGAGGAGCAAGGGCAGGAGGGGTCAGGTTGGCCAGCCCGTCCAAAGTGTGTACATGGTCCCAGAGTCACAACCAGAGCCAGTGTGGACACCTTCCCCTCCCTGGGGCTAGTGGACAGAGCACCTGGCTCAGACCAGCATTAAACTCTGGTTGTAGAGCCCTGTAAGTTTCTGAGGGCCCTGGGCTGAACTGCAACGGTCTCACCCACCCCCCTCCCTCTCCCGCAGAGGAGATGGGCATCTAGGGCCTAAAGGGTCCGAGGTCAGAGTGTTAGTCCCACCGCAACCTCCGCCACGGGGCGTCTGCGAGACCAGAATTCCTTTACATTCGGAGACCCTCCCACGAACTGGACCCTCACTCAGTTCGTTGAGATTCTCCCATTTCTCCCAAAATCCGTATGTCTAGGGGAGAGGGGCAGATGGGGACACCCACGCAGCAGGCACCTGGTTCTGCCCAGGCACGCCCCCCGTGACTGACAGATGCAAATGTTCCGCCGGGCCCCCGCAGGCCGCTCCCTCCCTCGCTCGCTCGCCCGCCTCCCGGCCAGCTCCCTCGCTCCTTTATCTTATCAAAGCCCCGTAATTACAATTGCTATTTTGTTTCCTCGAATCTGCAATCAGAGCTCCTGGGCCCAGATGAGGGAGCGCCTGTCAACCTGATCGCTGAGTGACAGCTCGGCCACCTTCCCCGGCCGCCCCCACACTCGGCAAACAAACACACACGCACACACACACACTCCGTCTCCTGCAAACACAAACACACACTCCTCGCCAACACAAACGGCCCCTCTCCGCAGACACGCCCTCGCCGGCACCCAAACACACACCTTCAGCCTCTTCCCAAACGCACCCCTGGCCCCCGGCGCGCCCTAGGCCCCTCAAATCCACACCAGCAGCGCTGGCCGCTGGGACTGCAGCTCGCTCCTACGCGTGCTCCCGCGCCTGCCACTCAAAGCGCCGCGGGCTCTCCCGGACCGTTCAAACGCCGATCGGCGACACTGCGTTATGCACTTCGGACCTCCTCTGGGAGCTGTCTCACTTTGCCCCCCAAATACGAGCCTGCCCCTCCTCCAGCAGTCTGCAAACCCCAGCGTACGCCTTCATCCCCTAGCACTCCGAGGACAGAGTGAATTGGCAGCGCTCCTACTGTGTGCTAAGAGGGCAGAAAAGTGAATCGCGGAGAAGCAGGAGCAGGGAGGGAGAAAAAAACAATTCCCAGCTCGGTCTTCGGGGCGCCCTATTGGGCTGGGAAACTCTGACTCAGAGTCGATGTGGATTAGGCCACCACTGCGGGCAGGAGTGTGCCGGGCGCCGGCCCACGCCCGCCAGGAGACTGACCAGCAAGGCAGGGGAGGAATACAAAGAGCAATCTGTGGCGTCGGGGGTGGGGGGGTGAATATTGGGGTGGAGCCATGCGCAGTGGGTAGATGGACAGCTCGGGAGGCTTCTGAGAGACGAAGGCGCTGCACTCAGCCAGACTCGCGCCTCCAACCAAGCACGTGCTGAGGACTTCGGAGGCGGGAGCCGAGGTGAGGAAAGGTAAGGAGTAGTGAATACCGCAGCCCGACTCCCCTACTCTATCACAAGCCCTTCAAATGAATGAATGCACACATACATGCATGCAAGTCTAATGACATATTGCCTCGCCTTTCGCCAGATTCGGCCGCCTAGACCACTCTAGGCACTTGTAGGTCCCTTCTTGCACTACGGCACTCGCCGAGCCTTTAGAGGTGGCTTGTGGAGAGGTCCGGCCACAACCTCGCCCACTAGAGGGCGCCAGCGCCACCTTCCCCTCTCCTGGCACGACACTGTTTCCCAGCCAGGCTGCCCCCTTCGCCTTGGCTCCCCAGCGGAAACATTTCAGGAAAGCCCTCCTGGCGCGGAGAAAAGCTCCTGTGACCCTGATCACACTAACACGTAGAGGGGTCGCCTCCTTTCGTCCTCAAGTTAAGGACTAAGGGAGGTTGAAAACTGTACCCCCTATTTCCTCACCACAGGGTTGGGGGGAGATCCTTCTCTAGGGATGTGTGTTGAGGAGAGTGCTTTTCCGTATTATGGGGACTCTGTTCAAAGGTTACCTCACCTACCCCAATACCAGCCCCTTGGGGTTATCTTGGGCCCCCTCCCCCATGTCCACTCACTTGCCCAGAGGTTGGTTCTAGAACTGGCCTGACCTCCACCAGGCCCTGTTCTCTGTCCATCCTCAGCCTGTCTGGCCCCAGGCTGTCTGGGGAGGTAATGTTTTGTTTGTCTGTTTGTTTGTAGGGCATTGACAACCGCCCCCCCCAACACAGCTGCTGAACTGCTGACCCCAGAGCTAGTCACACACACTTATCCTCACACCAAGTACATCCCTTCTTCTTCCTGGCACAGTAGCAGCCAAGGCCCAGAACCAACTGATACCAGGCACCAGATACCCCAGACCAGGCGGTGTGCTAGGGGGCAGGAACTCCTCTTAGTTCAAGAGGCCAATTCCCAGGGGCCCCTTCCTGCCCCCATATGCCAGGCCACCCGGATTCTGGTTTCCCTGTCACCCAATCTGGCCAGTCCCCTCCATCTGGCCCCTGGAATCAGGTTTCTAAGGGCCCAGCCCTACTCAGAGACTGCCTACAAGACTCAAAGGAGAAGCAAAGACTGGTCCCTGCCCCACCCCTTTCAGGTCCTCTCTGGGCCTCAGCCCCCTCATGGGGCTAGGGATGCACATTCCTCAGGCTGCTTAAGCCCGCTTATCTGCCCCCTGCCCATCAGCCTGAGTGCTGACAGAGGCCTGGGCCCCTTGTTTGGACTCTGATAACCTCCTGCAATGGCCCTCCCCCACCTGCAGCGACTGGGAACAGCTGAGTATTGGGAGGTCCCCTTTCAGCAAGGCAGTTGGGGCCCAGGCTTGGTCCTGGCCCAGGCACCTGGGAATAGTAGGCTCCCACATCCCTCCACCCTCCCCGAGGCCCAGGGCCACCCTCAGTGCTGCCACAGTGCCACCTGGTGGTCCCCAGGGAAATGTCACCCAGCATGGGAAGAAACCACACAAATGAGTTGCAAAAACCCCACAGAACTTTATTTCAACCTTTATCCAAAAATGTAAAAAGTATTAAAAATGTGTAGCTCTGAGCTCCAGAAACTAACCTCCAATCCTCATAGGCAGGTGGAGAGGGAGGGTTGCTTAGGATACAAGTTCAGAGTTCTTCCCACTCCTATTGAAAAGGGAAGCCCCAGGCATGGTACAAGACCAGAATACCAGGGCCTTATGAAGAACAGGCCCCTTTCCTAGCTCAGGCCCAAAGTCCCTTGAACCAAACCCTCACCCCAAACTCTCCTCTTCAATGAAGAGGAAACATTTACAATTCTTGAAACTTGTCCGGGAACATGGTGCACATAGGCAGCTGGCTGACCTAGGAAGAGCAAATAGGGGTCAACATCTAACCTTCACCTGCTCCTCCTGCCCCCTCCCAGAGTCTTCTGGCACCCTTCGCTCCCTACTCACCAAGGAGGGCTAGGGCCTGCCCCCCTGCTTTTTGGCAGGAAGGATGGGACACAACTCAGCTTCCTCCTCTTCACTCTCCTCTTCCTCACTCTCCTCTTCCTCAGAAACATCATTGCTTATAGTAACTGGTGGACACACGAGCAGTAGAGGGAGGGAAAGGTTAAAGGCAGGCCCCTTTCATGCTACACTTACTGTGGTGCTAGTCTTGCAGGGACTCTGACCTCCCAGAGATTATGGTATAGGTGAGAACCTTAGGCACTAAACTAGGTGACAAACAGCTAAAGGAGTCCACATCACTGGAGCTGGAAAGGCTGGGACAGGTTCCATGAAGGAGGTAGGTTTCAGTAGGACAGAAAGTAGAGACCATGTCATGCACAGGGCACAGCCTGGAAGGGCATGCAGGCCTGTATGGGGCTGTGCTGGGAGATGAGGCTGGGATGGGGCCGGAGTGTGCAGTACCGGGGAGGCCTGATCGGAGAGTCCACTGGAGGCAAAGGAGAGGGCCCTCCCCTCCTCTCACCAATCTGGTGGCGCCCAGTGATCCTTACAGGGCCAGAGCCCGACTTTAGGCGGAAGGTCACAGGTGGTTGGAGCTGGAAGTCATCCAAACTGAGCTGGGAGGAAGACAAGGATGAAGGCCTGGCCCATTCATATCCCACCCCAGCTATGATGAGTACTGAAGTCCTCAATCCCCTCATCACCACCACCAAGGTTAGGGAACTCACCATGGGCTGGCAGGACAACTTGAGGTTAGCCACAGGAACTGCAATCTCTTGCTGGTCATGGTTCCGGGCCACAACTTCTACCACATTACACTCGTCTTTGGCCCCCTCGGTGAGACAGAGCTGGAAAGCGTACACAGGGCCTAAGGGTCTCCTCAAGCAAGGGTTGACACTACTAGTGAAGGCATCTACTCTAGAATTTGCCCAGCCTCAGAGGCCCCTGCATCACCTGGGCCAGGGGAGCCACCCATACGGAAGCTAAGCAGATGAGTTGACTCCTAGTAAGGGGAAGGGGTTGGGTAGAGGCCCACTAATTGCCTGCCCAGATTTATTCATCGTTGGCCTCTCCCCCACCCCTCACCATGGTCAATGCCAGCACGTGCTCCGCATCGTCCTCTTCCTCTACTTTGAAGGTGAAAGAGCGGGTATGCCCGGAGAGCTCACAGCCTGGGAGAGAACAGTGTGACTATGCTTGAGTGTTTGGGGGGGGGGAGTCACCAACCCCCACCCCACCCCGTCACGTGTAGCCACGGACTGACCGTCCATTTACACGCCCACCAGGCGTCGCTTCTATCAGAACACCTGGAGAGCTCGGCAGACCTGGGGCCCTCCCCGCACACCTGGGGCAGGGATCTCACCGCCCCCTTTCGCTCAAGTGGCCGAGTGTGAGTTCCCCCTAGCCTTCGGGGAACAGCCAGACACCCCTCGCACACACCCATGCCATGCAACTATCCTCATTCCTGTTCCTCATCACGACCTCTTACCGCCCAGTATTACCCGCAGCCCCTCCTTTCCCCAATACCAAAGAAAAAACTGTCCATAGTGACCGGGGCCGGTATCCGCAGACCCCCGACACCCTCGGCCCGGGCTCTGCTCTCTTGACTCAAAAACGCTAAGGCAGCAGCAGTGCCGGCGGCCATGCTGCAAGGGCCGTCTCCAAACTCCGCCCCCCGACACGTACAAAACGAGGGACCCTCGGCCAGTTCCGGCCCCGCCTATTAAAGGAGACGCTCAGTCCTGAAAGCGGACTGGCACTGAGGACGCACGGGTGCAGCGCTTCTCAGCCCAGAAGCCTGCGACTGCTGCTCAGACCTGTCAAGACCGCAGAAAGGTACTAACAGCACAGAACAATGGATTTGGGATTAATGTTATCGTCCTTGCTCATTTCCAGGACCACGAGGGCATCCATATTTTCTACAACTCCCCGCACATTCTATAGTATTGTATTTCCCACTCTTCCAACCCCAGGGTAAGCTTTCTTTAAAGGAAGCATAGATAAAGAGATGTAAAGCTTACCTACTCGTCCGCCAGCAAAGGCGGGGTTCCGGGTAGTGCTTTTCTTGTAAAAGCAAAGGAAATTAGGTCAGATTAGTCTTTGCCCCAAAAGAGCTGAGAAGCCTTAAGGAAGACTTCCAACTCCAGGATTTCCACCCAAACTCTGCTGTCCTCTCAGCTTAAGCCTTTCCTACACACACCTCCTGCTGTAATGACCCTGCAACTTTCTACTCAGATGGCTTATCGACATTGAACTTTGTTTGCTTGATGCTGGCACTTGCTAGTAAGACTAGCTCAGTGCGGGACTCAACTGCTGCTCCTGGCAGACCCACGCTTTTATAACTTCCAAACCAGCCCAGTAATATCCTTCTGCCTTGTACTTTCCGTCATACAGTTTAGGCTATTTTGCCATCTTTCACCTTCTGACTAAAGAATCAGGCTAACTGTTGTGTTCCCTGTTAGATGGCAGAAACAAACTGGGGGCCCCATTTCACACCCAGGTTAAAACTGTGACAAGAGGGTGGAGTCGTTTGGCCAAGAATTATAGCCTACTGTTCTTAGCTTTTGCTTTGAAAATCTGGTGAAGTAGAGGGGAATGCTGCCTTCAAGATCCAGTCTCTAGGCCAGGCATGGTGGCTCACTACTGTAATCCTAGCACTTTGGGGGGGGGCTGAGGCAGGCGGATTGCTCAAGCTCAGGAGTTCGAAACCAGCCTAAGTGAGACCCTGTCTCTCCTAAAAATAAAAAGAAATTGGCCAACTAAAAATATATATATAAAATATTAGCCGGGCATGGTGGCGCATGCCTGTAGTCCCAGCTACTTGGGAGGCTGAGGCAGTAGGATCACTTGAGCCCAGGAGATTGAGGTTGCTGTGAGCTAGGCTGACGCTGTGAGCTAGGCTGACGCTGTGAGCTAGGCTGATGCCATGGCACGCTCTCTAGCCTGGACAACAAAGTGAGACTCTGTCTCAAAAAAAAAAAAAAAAAAAATCCAGTCTCTAAGAACAGCTGTGGAGAGGAGGCATAACTTGCTGTAGAGTGAGGCATGAAAGGAAAAAGGTAGGGAGGGGGCAGACAGGAAATAGGTTGACGCAGTACACCACCACAAGCATTCACTTCAAGTTTTATTTTGCCTCTTGCATGGTCTTCAGATAGTTTTACAGTTCGTTTTCTACAGGAACTGAGCTGTGATCTAAACAATCAATAAAATGTCATTCCAACCTTAATAAATATTCATAATCATGGAATAGCATAGCACTTTATGATCCTAGAGTGATGAAAGTATAGACCTGGGCATCTGTTTCACAGTTGACACCTGACCAGACGACCAACCGAAGTGATTATTAAAAGCCAAGATAAAACCAAAAGTAAACTTGCTAAAAATCCTGATTCCATATGAGGTTGACCTGAAACCCTCCAGATGAAATGCTAGAATTATCCTAATGTTAAAGATATATTCAACGAGAAACTGGGTAACATTCAGCTGTCTTAATATCTAGTAGGGATATTCCCTTCTTCACTTTAGCCCTCAAAAATGCAAACTTGGTTCAAGCTTTCCAACACAGATATCCTTCTATGGGATAAAGGTTTCTACCCTAAGAATGAAGAGGCTTCCTTCCTCCCTTCTCACCCTTTCAGTGCACACTCATAGGTCTTGGATGGAAGTCACTAGGTACGATGCTTTAAGACTCTCTCAAAGATCACATTGGTGGAGTTCTGTGAAGGAAAATGTATTTCCTTCTATTTACTCCCTCCCCTCACACAGCTCAAAGTTAAACAGCTCAAAGTTAAAAACTGCAAGGAAGCAAGATAACAAAATATTGTTATGAACCTATGGAGAAGTCAGCCAGCTATGATGAAAAAAAGAATCCTGTAGAAATCACCTGTCAGCCTCATGCTCAAAACCCTTAAAAACATATCTAAATTAAAATACATGAAGCTTTCAGAACCTGTGGTTAAAAGAAAAGGGAAAGGGTAACCATAAATCATTAGTTAAAATGTGCTCATTCTTTCTCTTAAAAACTAGATACAAACATGCAAGAATTAAAGACTCTTATTTAATAAAACCAGTAGTAACAGGTCTTGAGATTAAAGGACAACTGATCTAAGGGCAAATGGACCAATCAGTCCCTAAACCCTACTTAACAGATGTCAAAACCAACATTTCACATGCTGACCTGCTATTGAGGTTAATTTCCAAAAAAGACTGCACTTTGCAACAGATTAAGTCCTAAGTTAGGCTCTCGTAACCCAAAATGGTCATGGCCTAGGTAGGAAGCACTTTAAAAATAATAAAACTTAAAAAAAAAAAAAAAAAAAAAGACAAGTAAAGAAAATCCATCTTCTACTCTTTTATATCATTGAAAGTGCCATCCGGAACAAAAACCCTCTCATTTTCATGAGGAAAAAAAATTACAAAAACAGTAAACACAAATGATAGTCAGGTTACAGCTAGTTTATATACAAAGAAATTTACAAGTTTGTCAATTTTAGGCTTTTGCCACAAACAACTGCACATTTGTCCCTACAAAGCACACTATGCCTGAGCCAATGGTCACTACAGAAGACAATTGGCCATGGCTTTACAGAAAGCAGAAAAACCGCCCCAAATTGAAATCATTTATTCAGCTTTAATGCCACAATCATCCCACTTGGAATCTCTCCACCCTGAAGCTTCTCAAACCCACTAAATCTTTCTTCTCTCTGCCATGTCCCCAGAGACTGAGAGACCTTTCAATCAATAAACCAAGGATGACAGAAGTGATTCTGATTACTCTTAGGTGAGAAATGCAACCACACCGGATGCAGAAAATAGTGCTGACTACATTTATTGAAGACCCCCTCCCTATATAAGCCCATGTAAGAGGTCTTGGCACCTAACACAAGACCCCAAAAGGAGGCCAACATCTCTGTTTCACACAAGATTTGTAGCAATACTATCTTCTTCTAACCAGTGAATAGTCTGAAAGTGTGATGGGTGAGTTTTACATAGTCTTCTTTGTTTCCAATCCAATTGGCTGATTTGTTGCCACTCCAGAGACTAAACTGTACCAAGACCTCAACCACCACCCACAAGGTGGAGTTAAGAGGCTTTCTAGACAGTTCATAGTACCAACAAATGTCACAGGCTCCGACCAAGTATAACCACATCCTTTGGAAATCCTTCCATTTTTGCAATTTCAAAACAGCCTAACTTGCTGTAAAATTCCAGAATTCTTTTATCATCTGGTCTCACTTCACAGAAAGCTCCCCGGGAGCCTAGAAATAAAACAAATATTCAAAACATAAACAAGTCAAGTAGGAGAACATAAATATGAATTGTAATTATCTTTAATATATTTAATATAGATAATAGGGGCTTATCTATACCAGCTCTTAAATTTATGTCACAATTTAAAGAATTCATATTAATATTAAACAATGAGTAAAGAAAATCTTTCAGGGAACAGGGTAGAAGAAATCTCAATGCAAAAGATACCTCTGTTGAAAACATACAAAGTACCTGCTGGGGCCCACAGGGCAGAGCCTATTCCAGCTCATGTCACAAGCCAATATAACCAGAATACCATATAGTCTTCTTCAGACATACCTCATCTATCTAGGTGATTCATTTCTAAGTACAACACTGAGAATTATCCTTTCTTCAGATAAAGTTATTTAAATTATCCCACAAAGAGGATACCACTGACTCAAATGATATGAAGATCCAACAATAAACCAGGTGCATTCGCATGTATCAATAACCCTCTAACGAGAGTATGATACCTATTATTATATGGTCCAAGGGCTAAAAATGATCTTTTACATTTTTTTTAAAAGATTATTTTTTTTTAAAGAAAGAGAATATGCAACAGAGCCCATATGTGGCCCTTAAAGCAGAAAACATTTACTTTACAAAAAAGTTTTCATACCAATATAAGTATTTTTGAAAGCTGAATTTAGATAAATTTTTAAGCAAAAATTGCATTTCTAAGTGAAGTTTCTCCCTCAGGTTCACATTTAATTTTCCTCTATTATTTATGGGCCTCCTGGCAAAATAAATATATCCTCATATATTTCTCATTTAATTGGGGTTCACAAAAAGCTTTCATAGTGTAAAAGAGCAGCATTTTTCAATGATTAAAACACATAAAATTCATATACCACTAATAATTCAAAACCAAACTTTAAATGGTAGGGAGGGAAGTATAAATCCACAATTCACTTCTTTCCTTTTTTATCCTAAATATAGTCCTGTCCCTACTTTGCCCAAATGCTACCAACTCCACGAAGGCTAATCGTACTTACCATTAGCCTTTAGTGAAGACAGGAGGCAAGCCATCATACTTTTGGCCACACTTGGGTCAGTTACTTTTTTGTGAATATCCATCTTTATCAGAGAAGGGAAGTTGGCAAGGAAAGTTTCTGGCAACACTTCCTGTTCTTCATGGAAACTCAACATTATTTTCTGTAAAAATTAGAAACAATCTTTTGACTTTCAATAGCTACCCATTATATACCTATATGTCAACTACAAAACTTAGTAACAGGAAAAGGAAAGTAATATTTAATAATTCTTCTAGCCAGTCATTATATATAATTATAATTATATAATTATCACACTCCGATTTAATTAAGTTGTATTTCTAGCTGAAACATTTTTTTTTTTTTTCCAGACAGTCTCGCTTTGTTGCCCAGGCTAGAGTGAGTGCCGTGGCGTCAGCCTAGCTCACAGCAACCTCAATCTCCTGGGCTCAAGCAATTCTGCTGCCTCAGCCTCCTGAGTAGCTGGGACTACAGGCATGTGCCACCATGCCCGGCTAATTTTTTCTATATATATATTAGTTGGCCAATTCACTTCTTTCTATTTATAGTAGAGACGGGGTCTTGCTCTTGCTCAGGCTGGTTTCGAACTCCTGACCTCAAGCAATCCACCCACCTAGGCTTCCCAGAGAGCTAGGATTACAGGTGTGAGCCACTGCGCCAGGCCTGAAACATTTTTTTTCTTTTTTCAAGAAAGAGTCTCACTCTCTGCCTGGGCTAGAGTGCCATGACATCAGCTTAGCTCACGGCAACCTCAAACTCCTGGCTCAAGCGATCCTCTTGCCTCAGCCTCCCAGGTAGCTGGGACTATGGGCACATGCCACCATGCCTGGCTAATTTTTTCTATATTTAGTTGTTTGGCTAATTTCTTTCTACTTTTATTAGAGAAAGGGTCTCGCTCTTGCTCAGGCTGGTCTTGAACTCCTGAGCTTGAGCAATCCTCCCACCTTGACCTCCCAGAGTGCTAGGATTATAGGTGTGAACCACCGCGCCTGGCCCCTTTTATTTCTTTTGAGATAAGGTATCACTGTTATCCAGGCTAGTGTGCCATGGCACCATCATAGCTCACGACAGCCTCAAACTCCTGGGCTCAAGCGATCTTCTGCCTCAGCCTCCCAAGTAGCTGTGACTATAGCCATGTGCCAAAACACCCAGAGAATTTGTTTTTTTTGTAGAGACAGGTCTCTGGCTACGTTGCTTAGGCTGGTCTCATGAGATGCTCCCACCCTGGTCTCCCAAAGTGCTAGGATTACAAGGATGAGCCATACCTGACCAGCATTTTTACTTTTAAAAAGCTTAAATGCAATCGTGGTATTAGATCCTGGAACAAAAAAAGGACAGTAGCAGAAAAACCGGTGAATAAAGTTTGCCATTTAATAATGTATGAATGTTGGTTTCCTAGGCTTGACAAATATAGAAAGTGGGTAAAGTATAACTTATTATTTAATAACTTTGCAAGTTTTCTAAAATTTAAAATAAAAAAATTTTTAATGTATGGCTTACACAAAAATGTGTAATATACTTTAACACTACACATTTAAAATGATTAGGGTTAAATTTTGTTCTGTATATCTTATAATTTTTTAAAAAAAGCAGGCGCAGTGGCTCACGCCTGTAATCCTAGCACTCTGGGAGGCCCAGGCAGGCGGATTGCTTGAAGTCAGGAATTCAAAACCAGCCTGACCTGTAATCCTAGCTCTCTGGGAGGCCGAGGCGGGCGGATTGCTCGAGGTCAGGAGTTCAAAACCAGCCTGAACAAGAGCGAGACCCCGTCTCTACTATAAATAGAAAGAAATTAATTGGCCAACTAATATATATATATAAAAATTAGCCGGCATGGTGGCGCATGCCTGTAGTCCCAGCTACTTGGGAGGCTGAGGCAGAAGGATTGCTTGAGCCAGGAGATTGAGGTTGCTGTGAGCTAGGCTGACGCCATGGCACTCACTCTAGCCTAGGCAACAAAGCGAGACTCTCTCTCAAAAAAAAAAAACCAGCCTGAGCAAGAGCGAGACCCCGTCTCTACTATAAATAGAAATAAATTAATTGGCCAACTAATATATATAGAAAAAATTAGCCGGGCATGGTGGTGCATGCCTGTAGTCCCAGCTACTCGGGAGGCTGAGGCAACAGAATTGTGTGAGCCCAGGAGACTGAGGTTGTGAGCTAGGGTAACGCCAACGGCACTCACTCTAGCCTGGACAACAAAGTGAGACTCTGTTTTCCCTTGAAAAAAAAAAAAAAAAAAAAATGATCATGCTAAGAATAAGCCTAAATGGCTGGGTGTGGTGGCTCACACTTGTAATCCTAGCACTCTGTGAAGCTGAGGCGGGAGGATCCCCTGAGCTCAGGAGTTAGAGACCAGTCTGAGCAAGGGTGAGACCTGCCCCCATCTCTACAAAAAATAGAAAAAGTAGCCAGACATGGTGGCGCATGCCTGTAGTCCCAGCTACTCAGGAGGCTGAGGCAGGAAGATTGCTTGAGCTCAGGAGTCTGAGGCTGTAGTGAACTATGATAACACCACTGCACCCTAGCCCGGGCAACAGAGTAAGAGTCTATCTCAAAAATAATAATAACAATAAGCCTTAAGAGGTATTCTCTGTAAGATATCAATTTAGAAAGAACTAAGATTGTATGATGTATCTACTTACTTTTCTATTTTAATAAGTAGTTTATTTGAAAAATAAAACAAAGTAAGACCATTATCATAGTATAATTCTTAACCTGTATATTACCTCTGCCTCAGAGAGTTCTTTGTCACCATTTGGCTTGGTATACTTTTCCTGCATGAAGGGAATCCAGGAAATTTTACATTTTTTAATAAAAGGTGTCACATCTACAGTGCCCAGGGCATAACCACATATGCCATCTTCATCTTCTAGGACAAAGCAGTAATCCAGGCTCAGGGAAAGTAGCCCTCCTACTAACCTGCTCAGAAGGAAAGAGGCCAGAGTAAGCAAACAAATTACTAACAAAAAATTTACATTTCAGTGATACAAGGCCCACTGTACTTGATTTAACAACTTATGGAAACTATTTGGTATAAGAAGAAACTAGAAATGTACACATATTAATATTCAGATTTACTAAAACTAAGTTGCTTCCTGTCATCACTTCCCCTCAACCTGATAAACCTGGCTATGAAATTTCTACTCCCAAATCCAAATATTAATCACATACTTGTCTCCAATAAGGTCAGGCTGACTCTGAAAAGGTAAACCCACTCCATCGTCATACATTTCTCTGCAAATCTTGTACACGGAAGCCTGAAAATATAATCTGGTTGAGTAATACATCATAAAAAATGGCAGCAGACTCTAACAACAATATGACTTGTAAGTCATTCTAGGGAAGGAGTAACAAAATGTCAGGCCTATCAAATATATCACCTCTGCTTTGTTAAATAAAGGTTTATTCATTGAGTCAGATTTGTAAAACCAGCAGAGAACAGCAAGGTTTTAGTAAACACTGAGAGCTGTTTTGTATAGGATGGTTTTAGGTAGTAAATTGTGGATTCCAAGGCCAGAAAATTGTGAGGTTGAAGAGTCTCTCAATTTTCTGTGTGTTAAGAATACTTACAGGCGGGGTGGGGGGGCTCATGCCTGTAATACTAGCACTCTGGGAGGCCGAGGCAGGTGGATCGCTCGAGATCAGGAGTTCGAAACCAGCCTGAGCAAGAGCAAGACCCCGTCTCTACTAAAAATAGAAAGACATTAATTGGCCAACTAAAAATATATAGAAAAAATTAGCTGGGCATGGTGGTGCCTGCCTGTAGTCCCAGCTACTCGGGAGGCTGAGGCAGAGGATCGCTTGAGCCTAAGAGTTTAAGGTTGCTGTGAGCTAGGCTGACACCACGGCATTCTAACCTGAGCAACAAAGTCAGACTCTGTCTCAAAAAAAGAGAGAGAGGCGGGCGGATTGCTCAAGGTCAGGAGTTCAAAACCAGCCTGAGCAAGAGCGAGACCCCGTCTCTACTATAAATAGAAAGAAACTAATTGGCCAACTGATATATATATAAAAAATTAGCCGGGCATGGTGGCGCATGCCTGTAGTCCCAGCTACTCGGGAGGCTGAGGCAGGAGGATCGCTTGAGCCCAGGAGTTTGAGGTTGCTGTGAGCTAGGCTGATGCCACGGCACTCACACTAGCCTGGACAACAAAGCGAGACTCTGTCTCAAAAAAAAAAAAAAAAGAGAGAATACTTACAAAATGTTTTTAACCTGTTACTGTCTTTAAACAGGCTTGCTTTTTTCTATAGCTGATTGTCAAAAGCCTGTAGGTACTTCATAACTGAACATTATAAAATACTAACATATCATCATCATTTAGACACATTAACTTAACACCTCACTGCAACCTTAACTCCTGGTCTCAAGATATCCTCTTGCCTTAGCTTCCCGAGTAAGTGCAGCTACAGGCTCCTGCCACCACACCCAGCTAATTTTTTTTCTACATTTAGTAGAGACTGGGTCTTGCTCTTGCTCCAGGCTAGTCTCGAACTCCTGAGCTCAAGGGATCCTTCTGTCTTGGCCTTCCAGAGTGCTAAGATTACAGGCATGAGCCACTGTGCCAGCTCCAATTCTGAATACACCTTTTTTTCTTTTGAGACAGAGTCTCACTCTGTCACCAGGGCTAGAGTGCAGTGGTATCATCACAGTTTACTGTAACCTCAAACTGCTGGATTCAAGTGATCCTCCTGCCTAGGCCTCCCTAGTAGCTGGAACTACAGGCCCATACCACCACTCCTGGCTAAGTTTTTCTATTTCTTAAAGAGACAGGGTTTCACTATGTTCCTTAGGCTAGTCTGGAAGCCCTGGGCCCAAGCTATGCTCCTGCCTTGGCCTCCCAAAGTACTAGGGATTACAAGCATGAGCCACTGCACCCTGCCTCATCTGATGTTTTAAAGGCGGGAAATAAAGAACTTAACATAAGATATTAGTAGTCTAAGCTACTTAGATTCTTCCTCAAATTTCTCTGTATGTTTCCCCTTCTTGTATTGAATGTTTTAGTTAATTTTCTCCATCTAAAGTTCTTATCTTCAGAACAAATTCTTTTAGCCAGTGAGTTCAAAGGTAAGTTCTGAGTATGTACCATAACTATACAAGTTGGTAGGTAGACAGATAATTAATTACCTCATCTTTAGGAAAATATGGTCTGATAGTATAAACTTTGGAGGTAGGAGTCAGTGGGGGTGGCTGAAAAAAGAGATCATTTGCCCCATCAATTGGCAGTAAACGCTGTGGGAAGAAAGAAAAGGAGATGGATTAGCGCTGGGAAGATATCCATTACTTTAAATGGGTGTGCACTGCAGATTACCAACTTAACATTAACTGGCTACTGCAGGCAGACCTAAAGAAGAGGGGTGTACTATGCTTTACTAATATAAACACCTTTGCTGGGGGGAGGGGAGTGCTTCTGAATAGAAATTACCCAAACTGAGTTACACAGCTTTAGTAGCATATTAATGGGGATTTAAATTTACAGCAAAAACAAAAACAAAAATAAAAAACAAACCTATTCCAATTATGACAAATATTATATTTTTTTAAACCAATCTTATATAGACCATCTCTCTACTACAAGATGGCAGAACAGAATGTCAGGAGGAGAGGTTTGGTCTGAAGAGGGTTATCTGTCCAGGAGACGCTTTATCCCCAAAGCAATGCGCTTCAGTTTGCTGTGCGCAGCAGAGCACCTGTTGGGGGGAGAAAAGTAGAGCACCTGGAAAGTCCATGAACAAATTCCAACAGCAAAAAAGCTTCATTTTGTTCAAATGTTCATTAATGGACTATTCTTTCAAACACAATTTATATTTATAAAAATAATTGGATAAGTATCCAAAATCCTTTCACCATTCACTTGTGTAATTATTTATCTTTTTTGCTCATGGAGTTTCCACTGGCAGACAAGCATGCGCGCATTGTGCATTGCGGGCGCAGATTAAAATGCTGTGCGACCTGCAAAGAAACAATGTGAAGTGTATACCTAGAGCCGCTGCGCTTCGCAGGCGCGGGGGGGATTGGCAGCATCTCCTTCAGAAATTACTGTGAAAGAGGAGGAAAATCTGATTTAAAACCCAGCTATGTAACTAAATTGAATTTGGGACTAGAAAGCCTTCGGCAGACCAATCCTTCCAGCCATCTGATGCGCAACATAAGGTTTCTCATAAAACAAAGAAAATGTCAATTCAGTTGTGAATTCATATTGATACCTGGAACTCTCCTGCTAGACCACCTCTAAAGGCCCAGGGTTCTTGGTCTCCAATTAAGAACTGTGCTGAAGAATGACTACGACACCCTGTTGAGATCAGATCCAAGCGGAGAACGTTACGAGAAAGGGGATTTCCTGAGGTCTCAAACGTCCAACAAACCAACAAACACTTTGTGGAAATAGCTCTCTAACAATAATAATCAGGGTTTTAGGGCAAGGCTGTGATAATAATTACTTCTAAAATTCATAATAGCATACTAATGTTCCTTCCTCTAGTTAATGAATAATCAGTTATCAGTTCTACTCTTTAATTATTGGAAGGAAAGTTAAGTCCCAAGTTTGTCTGAGTCAAGTTTATACATTCCCCTGGATACAGCTATACAAATCAAGCCAGCTGCTTGCCTTATCATGAAATTATAGTAACTATAAACTGAAATGAATGACAGATAATGAGACATTTTATTATCACAGCCCATGAAGGAATTAAACCTGTCTGAAGTCACATTTTACATTTCGAGGAAGGATATAGGAAAGGGAAAAAGGGGTAAAGGGATTAATCTTGTCAGAAAACTTAGGTCAGCAGAATAAATAAAAGAAATTGTTATTAAGTTGACAAAATGAAACACAATAACTTTTTTTTCTTTTTGGACAAAGATAATTCGAATTCAGACCAGGCTAGTTATAAATACCAGTCTGACAGATTCTGAGATCTAAGGAGAGCCAACTGATGCTCCTAATTTGTCCATACTTTTCTTAAAAGTATGACAGTATCTGGTTCCTCTGATCAACCATTATAATCTTTGTGATGCACTGAACACATGCACAGAATGGCAGGCTTTGAGGTCCAGAAGTCAGTAGTTAGGGTCACCACTTAACCAACTTCATAGGCAATAAAGCCAGCTAATAAGAGACAATTAAAGGCAAATGTTTAGAGGCCAAAATCATTTGCCTAGTCTTCTGACAAGATAAAGCAGCGCAATATAGTTCTTTTCCATTGGAAGACAGCATTCTACCTCCTGTTCAAGTTAACAGTCTCATCAGTATAAGATATAGTGTGCTAGTCAGACAGTCCCAAAGCAAACCAATTTTTTTGTTGACAATTCAGGCCCATTAAGAGATTATGTCTGGGTTTGTTATTTTTTAGGGGTAGGGGTAATTTTATAAAACATAAAATATAATATTTATAAAATAAATATGAAATAGGGTCAAAATTTAGACTGTGAAGACAAAGTGCCCCATTCCATAACTCAGTGTAATTTACACTGCAGGAAAAAACTATACCTCTTAAACTTTAAGATCAGCCAATTTCCCCTACCCCCTACTTTGAGACTACAACATAACTAGCACTTCCAACTATTATAATAAAAAGCTGCATGTACGAAGAGCTGTATAAATGAAAACATGGTTAATGCCTCAGTCGCTGCGCAAACGTGACTTCAGTTCATGCCTACTGCCCTTAAGTCTACCTGAGCTACCTCACAGATAGAACCTTTCAATTTAAACTAATTAATCATGACGCGCTGTGAACATCTGCCGCTGTCCATCCAATAGTAGTAGACACTTGTGCTGAGGATTCTCCCATCTGTACACAATGGGGAAGAAGATAATAGAAGTCGTTAGTAATCAAAAGTACTGCATAGCCACATTCTTTAAAGGACTGAATGCCAGCTGGACTGGAGAAAGGAGGAAAATGAAGGGTTCTAATCAGTCACCCCTGAATTTCTACAAAAACAAGAAAATACTCTCCCTGTCGTGAGCTTTTTTGTAAAGCTACGTGGATGCCAAGATAATTATTTAAAATTTCTAAGATGCTCTGACCTCAGGATTGTACAACAGCTATCTGTACAATTTGGGAAAGCTATCCACATAATTGCTTAGTAGAGAGATAAAGCCTAAGAAGAGAAAGAAACAATACTGTATATAATCAAGAATTTAATTTTTAATAATTCTTTTTTTGAGACAGAGTCTAGGCTAGAGTGCTGTGGCATCAGCCTAGCTCACAGCAACCTCAAACTCCTGGGCCCAAGCAATCCTTCTGCTTCAGCCTCCCGAGTAGCTGGGACTACAGGCATGCACCACCATGCCCGGCTAATTTATTCTCTATATATTTTAGTTGGCCAATTAATTTCTTTCTATTTTCAGTAGAGACGGGGTCTCACTCTTGCTCAGGTTGGTCTTGAACTCCTGAGCTCAAACGATCCGCCTGCCTCAGCCTCCTAGAGTGCTAGGATTACAGGCATGAGCCACCTCGCCCGGCCAAATTTTTAATTCTTGAATTAAAAGTTGAAGATCAAATATTTACAGTGATATACTTAAGTTCAATAATCCAGACTTCAGGTTCAAAATTCCTAAGGGTCTTGGAAATTTAAGATTTAAATCCCTATAAGGGATTAAATATAACTCCCTGGCCAGAAACCTGGAAGACAAATGGTGTCATCCAACAACCAAAATACAGATTTTTCCTGAGTCAAAGCGCAGATGTCTCCCACCTACAAGAGGTATCTTGGAGCCTTTTAACAGGAGGGTCAAATTCTCTCTTCTACCTAAGTACATACATATATATATATATATATATATATATATATCTCAACCAAAAAAAAATTCTGTTTTCAAAATTAACAATCAGATTCTGCTTTTAACAGCTAATTAGTTGCATCACAGGAAAACTATTATTTTTTAATATTTAAAAACCCAAAAGTATATAGGTTGAAAGTTAGAAATCTCCCTACTACTCGTTAATCTAAGCTCACAGTGTTTCAGACATCTATTTCACAACCAAGACCATGAAACCCGTATCACAGTATTTATGACAACTATGAAAAATATGACATGTCAGTCAGCCTTGCTGCCTGCTGTGTGCTATATGTAAGTCCATTACATATTCCTTATAGCTGGATTGAAAACCTGGAAATGAAATGAGGTCCCTGGAGAAACTTGGCCATGCTGGTGCTTTTTACCAAGCTTGAGAATTAAAAAAAAAAAAAAAAAATCATTTTCAAAGGAGACATACATCCATTTAATGAAACACAGAGTTTTTAGGGGACTGTAATTTCCACCCCCTGGTAAAACCAATTACTTGGTAGAAGGATAAAGAAAAAGCCTTCTGAAATAATACCAACTAGCACCAGAATAGCCTTCCACTAGAGCTCGCATGCGCACAGGGCTGGGAGGATGGCTTCCTCTTGCCAGGCCCCTTAGGTCATTTCAGCAACTGTTCTGTTAAACACAGCATTAATGTTATCAAGACACAGCAAGCAGCAGAAAGCTTACAGAGTCATATTTCATAGTGTCTCATCTGCAAATTGGATAAAAGTGGTATACAGGGTTCCATCCAGAAAGCATTCAGTCAGAGCAAGTTAAAGTCAGTAATTACTAACATATTTTCAAGATACTTATGCTGAATTAGCCCAAGGGAGAAAAATTAAAGTGCTTGATGTAATTTCTGAGACTTGCATTTCAAGTCCTCAACAATGCCTACTTTTGAAAGAAAGCAAACTAGGCAAAGAATTGAAAAAGATTTGGAAATTTGCCAATTCTCTAAAGGTTTTTCTCCCTGTGGAATAATTTTTTTTCAAGGGACAATATATGAGAAGAGATTATTCCTGGTGCACCTACCTAACCACTGTACAAAAGACTTCACCATAGACATTATACTCTTGATATCCCAAACATAGGAGTACATGTCATAAAGGATTGTCCTATTGGCACAATTGGAGAGCCGAGTGAACATTCCCATCACTAGTCCACACATCTCTTCAAACTTGGCTGCTCGTGACCGCCATTCTTCAATCTAGTGAGGATCAATAAAAAGACTCAAAAAATTGTAAGCTTAACAAAATAATCTAAGACATATAGTTAAAAATTAAACTGTTTGTGTTATCAGATAGTTGCAATTTATCCTAACCATTCAAGTATCATTTTCTGTCTTCCCAAACTGATAAATATTCCTAAAATAATCAACATTGACTTTCCATCATTCCAAACTAGAAGGTCAAACTATGGAACTCAAGGTACCATATATTCAACAGAGTCCACATCCACTTTAAAGAACATATTTTAAAATGTTGTCAACTTTCTGCCAGTTACCAGTATATTCATAAAAGGACATTCTCCATATTACTATCATGGGGAACCATCCGGACTACAGAAGCAGATAAATTAAGCATACTCACTTTTTCAGAGTCTTTTCCTTTGCAATTGACACTGACAACACTGCTATTTGCTCTAAGCCACTGGAATTCCCGTAACATCTGTGCTCCTTTGGGTCCATGCTCATAAGGAAGGTAGAAGAGATCAGCCAGTAACTGCAAATCCTCCAGAGTCACTGGTTCTACAGTGTACAACGGCTTTTCATTTGGACCTGGCACAAACTGCTCCTTATTCGTCTGTTCATCAGTCTGCATAGGGGCAATATCATTAATGCAATCTTCCTGCATAGACATCTCTGGGGATTTTGATTCAGCTATGCTCTCTTTATCAGTGTCCATTGGTTTTAATTCCTCTGCCATTTTAGCTTCCACGATTTCACTGAGTATTTGATTGTCATTCTTGTGATCTGTTTCTTCTTGTTTTTCCACTACCATGTCCATGGGCTCTTCATCGGGTTGTTTCTTTTCTTCTTCCTTGGTCAGAGCTGTAGGTTCACCACTCAAAGCTGCTCCCTGGCTCATAATGGGGTCTTGGTAAACTGTTGTTACTACCGTTGTGGCATTTAAAGAGGGTGCTGAAACTAAGGGAGTCCCATCAACTACACTTGCTTTAGCTCCACTGTGTGCAACTTGCCTACCTACAAAAATAAATAAATAAAATTGTCACAGAGATAATCAGAATTAGAAATAGAACAAAGTAGATTTACAGAAATGCTTCTGTTTATTACATCTGTAAACAGGAACCTCATTTTGAGATTCCAAATAATTTATGCCCTGAAAAAAATGAAATTTTTCTAAAATAACAGGAGGTGGGAAAGGAAGAGAGGAAGGGAAAAACAGGTAATAAACATCCCTAAACATGTTAACATCTATTATTATGTTCTCTACTGAAGATTTTTATTTAAAAACACTTAACATCGGCCGGGCGCCGTGGCTCACCCCTGTAATCCTAGCACTCTGGGAGGCCGAGGCGGGCGGATGGCTAGAGATCAGGAGTTCAAAACCAGCCTGAGCAAGAGAGCAAGACCCCTGTCTCTACTATAAATAGAAAGAAATTAATTGGCCAACTAATATATATAGAAAAAATTAGCCAAGCATGGTGGCGCATGCCTGTAGTCCCAGCTACTCAGGAAGCTGAGGCAGCAGAATTGCTTGGGCCCAGGAGTTTGAGGTTGCTATGAGCTAGGCTGATGCCACAACACTCTCTAGCCTGGGCAACAAAGTGAGACTCTGTCTCAAAACAAAACAAAACAAAAACCACTTAACATCTGGCATGTGACTCGCACCTGTAATCCTAACACTTTGGGAGGCCAAGGTGGGAGGATCTCTTGAGCCAAGGAGTTCAAGACCAGCCAGGGCAACACAGTGAGACCCTATCTCTATAAAAAATTAAAAATTAGCTGGGTGTAGTAGTGTACACTTATAGTCCTAGCTGCTCAGAAGGCTGAGGTGAGAGGACTGCTTGAGCCCAGGAGTTCAAGGCTACAGTGAGCTATGATTGTACCACTACACTATAGTCCAATCTGGCTGGACAGAGTGAGACCCCGTTTCATTAAAAAAATTGTTTTAAATAAATAAACTGGATGTGTACCATCTAGGGGATGGTCATGCTGGAGACTCAGACTTGTAGGGGGAGGAGGGGAAAGGGCATTTATTGAAACCTTAAAATCTGTACCCCCGTAATATGCCGAAATAAAAAAATAAATAAGCCGGGCGCAGTGGCTCACGCCTGTAATCCTAGCTCTCTGGGAGGCTGAGGCGGGCGGATTGCTCGAGGTCAGGAGTTCGAAACCAGCCTGAGCAAGAGCGAGACCCCGTCTCTACTATAAATAGAAAGAAATTAATTGGCCAACTAATATATATACAAAAAATTAGCCGGGCATGGTGGCGAATGCCTGTAGTCTCAGCTACTTGGGAGGCTGAGGCAGGAGGATTGCTTGAGCCAGGAGTTTGAGGTTGCTGTGAGCACTCACTCTAGCCTGGGCAACAAAGCAAGACTCTGTCTCAAATAAAAAAAATAAAATAAAATAAAATAAATAAATAAATAAAATAAATAAACTGAATAAATAAAATGAAAACAAATAATTATTTCCAAAAAGATATTTTAAAGACACGTTAGACTTCCATCAAGATAAAAATCTATTAAAGACCAAAAACTAAGATTTTTAAAACTTTATTCTCTAGATCCCTAGATTTCATTTAATTTCACTTTGTTTAGAGGGCATAAGATACAGCACATGGCAATGTTCTTTGTGACTCAACCATGTGATCCAACCCCCTTACAAAAAATAGCCAACTCACTGCTATACTGATGAGGTACACCAAACTCCTGCAACCATTCTGTTAAAGCTAGTTTTAGAGCCATCTGTGGACTATAAAGTACATCAGTTTCAATATCTTCATCACTGCCTTCATTTTCTAACTTTATCTGGATCGATACAGTACTGTCTTCACTGTCAGCTGCAAAAAAAGGAAAGCACAAAAATTGTTTGATTACAAAAAGCTCCTGACAAGTCATATGAATAAATGCAACTAGTTGTTACTGTACAACCAGAAGCAAAGAACTAGAACGAGAATAAACAAAAATGCAAATAACAAGCAAGACCCTTCACTGAACCTTTTCAACTAAAATAGTCATCTAAGTGCAATGTTAATATAAAATCCCAATTGAAATAAGAAATAACCAGAAAAAAAGAAAGAAATAACAAATAACTAATTTTACAATCATTGGAAAAGTCAAATCATACATGTCCAGGGTTCCAATTATCAGGAATGCAAGGTTAAAGGCACCATGCCTTACATAAAGAAAACAGCCCCTAGCCTTCAGGGGCTTATAATTTCATTACAAGAAAAGAAAATCAACAGATCACCCACATATGAGCACACATGGGGCAAGGAAGCTCTGAACCAGAATAGTGGTAGAGAAAACTGCCTATGGCCATACCACCCTGAACAGGCCCGATCTTGTCTGATCTCGGAAGCTAAGCAGGGTTGGGCATGGTTAGTACTTGGATGAAAGAAAATTAAGACTGAACTTCAGATTTGGTATTCAAAAACCTTATGTTCTTAGCTCTATGCACATGGTCCTGTCTAGCTAGTGTCTGCTAGTCTTTAATGAATTCCATGTTCTGCCTTAAAAGATGGAGGAGCTAAGTGCCATGTGTAGAGAAGGGATTAAAATTATATTCCTAATTTTTGTTTTTTATTGGGGAGAGGGTGATGACAATGAACCATAAAGGGAGACATTAACTCAACAAACAATTGGAAACAGAGGTACAGAACTGAGAAATAGACCAACTATATAACCATACACGAAGTGTCATAATGTGACACATTTCAGTAGCTCAAAATGGGCCAAAATTCAGGTAACTTCAAAATTCCAGTGTCCAATGTTTTCATCTCCAGCCCATGAACCTTTAATGCCCAGCAAATTCTACTTATACTTTGGCCCATTTTAAATATCTGTGAAATCATCTCTTAACACCACTCTTGCTTAGTAGAAATAATCTTTCTCTTCTGTGTTCACTTCACACAGCACTTTATAGATAACTGTTACACACTTATCATTGATACAATACAATTGCCTATAAGCCTTATCCAACACTAGAAATATCTTCCAAAAATAGGAACTACTTTATTCTTTGCATCCTCAGTACCCATGTACATGTTGTACAATAGGTTATTTAAATGTGAACAAGCATTCTCTTAAAACTCCATTAGAAATTTTTCATGAATAAAAATTAGTAAGCCAATGTCTAAAGAATATTTTCCATAAATGTAAGGTGAATCTAAATCGCACATGAAGTTTCAACCTGAAAAAGCTGACTACCAAAAAAAAAAAGAACATAAATCATATACGAAGTAACTCAGATAAAAATATGTAGTCATCTAAAATATCCCAATAAAACTGTCTGAAAAGAGAGAATCAGAATGATTCTAGAGATAATGTGAACACTAAACGGTCTATTTTGTCTGTTACTCAGATTTCAAAGACTTAATTACATTTTAAAAACAAAGAACTGAGGCCATGAGGTTAAGTGACTTGTCCGAGGACACTCAGCCTTTCTTCTATCATATACATACCTCATTAACAGAACTAAATAATACACCTTAATAAACACACTTAAACTGTGATAACAAAGGAATATACACTTGCCACTGGCTCTAGTTAACCCTAGCTCTCCTCCCAAGGTCAAGGATCAAGTATAGGCTACTTACTCATCACTACATCTTTTCTCACTCCATTCATGTTTGATTTGTACCAGGTGGCAAGGGTGTGGATAGCAACATAGTTGGCTTCAAATTCACAATTTGGATTAGTTAGGACTCCTTTTAACCGTGGGATGAGTTCTGTGGATCTTCCTTTGTACGGGCCCAGAAATAATCTCTTCTGATCATAATCATTAGCATGAATGTTATCCCAGATTACTGGAGCTCTCTTAATAATCTTAGAAACCTCTTCGATGGACTCTACTGGAATTTCTTTAGAAACAACTTTGGGACCTAGAAATAATGGCCACAGTGTGTTAAAACCTCATATCCACAATTAAAAATTTTTAAATGTTTTAAAAACTCACACATGGTTCTTTAAAATATACTGCACATACACAACTTTTTAATGTGTTTTCCTTATATGTACAATTTCTAACAATTTTTCTTTTTAAACACAGCAACATGTCTTTTTACTCAGTTTTATTTATTTTATAAAACAGAATAGTCTCCTAGCGCTGGGATCAATACTCTTTAGCCCAGTTTCCTATAGTTCTTTATTATTTATTCAGTAACTGCAAAATCCTCAAAGATGTTTTTTATATAGTAAGGGAAGAATACATACTATGTAAAAGAAAGTATATTTTATAACAAGTTTTCTGGTTAAGAGTCAGTTTTATAATGTATTCAATTCACAAGAACAACCAATTTCTCTAAGTCCTAGTTAGTAATTCAAGTTTTACTATATAAATCTTAAAGACTTACCTGTCCAAAGCACCTCAATTCCAGGTAGAAGCTTTTCGCCCACAGTCCTTAAATAAGGAGACTGAGACACATTTGGATAACAGAAAGTGCCACAATATTCTAAACATAAAGGGAAAAATTAAGTAAGAGTCAGGAGTGAAATGCTCATGAGTATTTGAATGGGAAAAAAATGTCAACCAATTCTATCATCCAAATGATAAAAGGCCTCCTAAAAGTAAGTAAACTCAAGTGGGTAGTTCATTTAACAACCAATCCACAAAATCTGATATTCTTTCTGCAACAGCAGTACATAACAATCTTTATGATTCTACAGTTATTAAAAGTTTACTAAAGGCCGGGCGTGGTGGCTCACGCCTGTAATCCTAGCTCTCTGGGAGGCCGAGCCGGGCGGATGGCTTGAGGTCAGGAGTTCGAAACCAGCCTGAGCAAGAGCGAGACCCCGTCTCTACTATAAATAGAAAGAAATTAATTGGCCAACTGATATATATATAAAAAAAAAAAAATTAGCCGGGCATGGTGGCGCATGCCTGTAGTCCCAGCTACTCGGGAGGCTGAGGCAGAAGGATCGCTCGAGCCCAGGAGTTTGAGGTTGCTGTGAGCGAGGCTGACGCCACGGCACTCACTCTAGCCTGGACAACAAAGCGAGACTCTGTCTCAAAAAAAAAAAAAAAAAAGTTTACTAAAGAAACAATTAGAATTTTAGCATTTTCTGCATAATTGTGAACTGCCTACATATCTCAGTTATAATCAGAGGCCAAATACAATGAATCAAAATATAATAGAACTGATTCAAGATCATGCCAATGGCTATTAGTACTCAACTGAAACTTACGGTGAATTAATTCCCAGTATAATCTTATTAAACATTATTTGAATACTCATATAGTATCAGACTACTAAAATAAGGTTCTTGGCTCCCAATATTCTAATACAGGCATATGCACAAAGTTAAATAATTCAGTCTAAAATTTTTTAGAACTAATTTATTTGTCTTTTCCTGAATAAGAAATCAAGTCTGGGGAAAATTTCTTATAAGTTAAATTTTGAGAAGCAACTAAAAGAGAATAGAACATTTTCAATGGAAAGAACCAGAAAGGGAAAAAGGCAAGGGGAAAAAATTATTAAGCTTCTTATGCTGACTACTGAAAATAAAAGTCCAGATGGTAGTGGGAGGAATGAAAACAGGGATAGATATGCATGGACAGAAAAAGGGGAAAAGTAGGAGGAAATGAGAAGTGACTAAGTTAAAAGCAATGTAAATTGTTTTTTTCCAGTTTTCATTTCAATACTATTCCTCCTTTAATCCTCACAATGTAATGTTCACATACTTCCAGTACTAAAAAATAAAATCTTTTGCCGAGTCAGTTGTCACTTATTAATTCCTAAAATGTTTCCACTTTAAGATCTTGAGAAATGTCTTCTAGAAAAAGGAGTCCTACTTTTATACACCATGGTGGGGGTGGGGGTAGGATGTCCCAATAGGGCTCATACATGGTCCTTTGGAAGTTAAGTGATACACTTCAAGAAGACTAGTTAAATATAAAACTATATATATACAATACCTGTGGGACAGAAGAGGAAAGTTTCTGGCTCTCCTAGGTATTGATAAATTTCATTTGTGATGGAGATCTGAGCATGAGCAAAAGAACTGAATACCTCTTTGTCTGCTGCACACATATTATGGTCAATATCATCAAAAAGTAAAGCAAATGCCCTGCACCCAAACTGAGAAACCTAGAAAAAGAAAAAAAATCAAGATGTTTATCAGCTTACCTTAGAGGAAAAAATAAAAGATTCTAAATATTAATGTATATACTTAACAGTTACACTTAAAGTCAAATATTTTCCTTAGCACAATGTTCAAAGCCAGACCTATTGTTTTTACACTTTCTTTTTTTTTTTTTGTTCTTGAGTCAGAGTCTCACTTTGTTGCCCAGGCTAGCATGAGTGCCATGGCGTCAGCCTAGCTCACAGCAACCTCAAACTCCTTGGGCTCAAGCAATCCTGCCTCAAGCCTCCCAAGTAGCTGAGACTACAGGCATGTGCCACCATGCCCGGCTAATCTTTTCTATATATATTAGTTGGCCAATTAATTTCTTTCTATTTATAGTGGAGACGGGGTCTCGCTCTTGCTCAGGCTGGTTTCGAACTCCTGAGCTCAAACAATCCGCCCACCTCGGCCTCCCAGAGTGCTAGGATTACAGGTGTGAGCCACCGCACCTGGCCAACCAATTAAAAATATATAGCCGGGCGCGGTGGCTCACACCTGTAATCCTAGCTCTCTGGGAGGCTGAGGCGGGCGGATTGCTCGAGGTCAGGAGTTCGAAACCAGCCTGAGCAAGGCAGACCCCGTCTCCACTATAATAGAAAGAATTAATTGGCCAACTAATATATAAAAAAAATTAGCCGGCATGGTGGCGAATGCCTGTAGTCCCAGCTACTTGGGAGGCTGAGGCAGGAGGATTGCTTGAGCCAGGAGTTTGAGGTTGCTGTGAGCTAGGCTGACGCCACGGCACTCACTCTAGCCTGGGCAACAAGCGAGACTCTGTCTCAAAAAAAAAAAAAAATATATATATATATATATAGAAAAAATTAACCAGGCATGGTGGTGCATGCCTGTAGTCCCAGCTACTTCGGAGGCTGAGGCAGGATTGCTTGAGCCCAGGAGTCTGAGGTTGCTGTGAGCTAGGCTGACGCCACGGCACTCTAGCCTGGAAAACAGGGTGAGACTGCCTCAAAAAAAAAAAAAGGAAACTAGCCATTTCCAGACGAAAGTACATCTCTTGTCCATATTATACCTGATAGAATCGCAGTCTATCAAGTAAAACCCTGTTTCTATAACCTCAGTCACAAATTCAGTCAAGCACCCAATGATATGTATAGTTTCTCAATATGTGGTTCTGGATCACCTATTTCAGAAACACCTGGATTCCTGGTCCCTGCCCCATGTCAGCATAGGAACATGGGAATGAAGCCTAGCAGTCAACGTTCTTTTAAGCACCACTTCTAAGCATTCTTTTAGGCAGTTCTTATGCAAACTAAAATTTGAGAAGCAACTGTACCTCCAGTAAAGTTCCTTTGACTTACTTTGGAAAATATATTCCTCTATCAGAAGCATCAAAAGTAAAAAATTCCTACAGATACAAAGAAGTATAAATTTAATTTCCTTTTAACATCATAGAAGTAACTCAGAGCCGGGTACGGTGGCATGTGCCTGTAAACCCAGCTACTGTGGTGGATTCACTTGAGCCCAGGAGTTTGAGACCAGCCTGGGAAACATAGTGAGACCCCATTTCAAAAAGAAAAAATAAAAGCAACTCAGAAAACCTTTAGTTTCAAGTACTGAGTCAGAAAAATGGTAAGAAAGTAAGAAATTACCTGGTCCAGTTTGCGTTTCAATGTAGATACTTCCTTGGGGTTAGAAAAGGTGATATCCAATCCAGGTGAGATAGCATAGATGAACTCTATCTCATATTCTCGTGCAGCAGAGATGAGAGTCATAAGTTGCTCTAAGGAACAGAGTCCATATTTTCAGAAAGCAGCATACAAAACTAAAAGAACCTTCACTTTTTAACTGAAGAAGTCATTTCTTCCAACTTACAGGAAAAGAAAAGTTCCTTAAATTTTACTAAATTGTCATGTCCAAAGTAACAATAGGCCATACAAAATGAAACAAGCCTGAAGTGATTTAATGTCACAGTAAAAGAACAATAGTTTTTACACCTTTGATTTATTTGAACCAACAGAAAATAAGAGGCCCTTCTTTTTCACTTCCAAATAGTTTCTTAACCTTCTGGGAAAATAAGCTAAAATCAATAAAGAGTTCTCCTTCCCATATAATCTAGCAGTTAGAAAAAAAGAAAAAAATTAAAAATAAAGCATTCTGCTCCTTTCATTGCCATCTCTCAAAAACACTCAATTGTGTCAATTCTCTTACTGAACTGAAGCCATTTCTAGTTCCTCTACCATTTGAAAGGTATAAATGCTGCTGCTTTTTTCCTTGAATAACTGAAATTCTTAACTAAATAAATCTACACATAACTACTTTATACTCTGAAAGAAAGAAAATGCCTTCTTAAGAATCCCAACACCTTATCTTTTCAATCTACAGGAAAAACATTCATTACAGATTTTAACCTTTTTTTTTTTTTTTTTTTTTTTTTTTCTCTTTGTTCCCCAGGCTAGAGTGAGTGCCGTGGCGTCAGCCTAGCTCACAGCAACCTCAAACTCCTGGGCTCCAGCGATCCTTCTGCCTCAGCCTCCCGAGTAGCTGGGACTACAGGCATGTGCCACCATGCCCGGCTAATTTTTTTATATATATATATATATATATATATATATATATATATATATATATATATATATATATCAGTTGGCCAATTAATTTCTTTCTATTTATAGTAGAGACGGGGTCTCGCCACATGATGTTTACCTCCTGACCTTGAGCAATCCGCCCGCCTCGGCCTCCCAGAGAGCTAGGATTACAGGCGTGAGCCACCGCGCCCGGCCAGATTTTAAGCTTTTAAAATATGACAATTTTCCTAAAGTAAATTTAAATACTCTAACATATACCACAGGACATTATCTTTGAATAACTTTCAGTGGTATTTCAAGATAGTCATTTGATTTGATTTTATTAATCACATTAAATTTCATTACCAGCACCACCAAAATATAATTAAGTTGAAAGCACACTTAAATTACATAGAATAGTAAACAACAACATTATATGGAGATGGGGTAAGTGTTAATTGCCTCTTCATAACTGAAGAAAACTTTATGCCTTCAGTACCTTGGCTGGGCTGGTAACCAAGTATCTTGTTGTCTACATGTATACACTATTTAATTCTAAGGATAAAAATGTTTCTCAATTTACTCAAGTCCCCAAAGAAAAACATTACTTGTCTAATTTACAAGGAGTCTCTGTGATATACTACTAACCCTTTGCACTCGCTTTTTTCTCGATTCCTTTATTCTACTCGGGATTTAACTTTTTAAATACCCCAGATTTTACAAAGCGCGACAGTAGAATAAAAAACTGGAATTTCTTTTCATACAAACTTATTTGGATTTTTTTATATTTCAAATTATTGATACATTCAAAGAGTAATTTTAATCTCTATAATTTTTGCTAACCGTGTCAAGTCACACTCAACATCCGAGTGCAAAGGGCTAACTTACTTATCAATTTTATGTAACCGACTCAACCTAAGAATATGTGTTGCAAGGATAGTCTGTTATGGCTTTCTATGTCACCCAATGAGGTTAAGATCTTCATTTTAAATAAGGATCAGTAACAGTAAACAAGGCCATGTCATACTAAAGGCTGAAGCAAAAGGGGCAATCAGTAATACTGATCCTGTCTTCACTTAAAATTTTGTTATTTTGTCCAACATGGATTTTTTTGCATTAATTTTAGTTTCTTTTAAACTGCATTAAATATTATTTATCTTGATTATTGACTTTTTTGGAGTCCCTTAAAAAAATTTTTTTTGAGACAGAGTCTCACTTTGTTGCCCAGGCTAGAGTGAGTGCCATGGCGTCAGCCTAGCTCACAGCAACCTCAAACTCCTGAGCTCAAGCGATCCTCCTGCCTCAGCCTCCCAAGTAGCTGGGAATACAGGCATGCGCCACCATGCCTGGATAATTTTTTCTATATATATTAGTTGGCCAGTTAATTTCTTTTTTTATTTATAGTAGAAACGGGGTCTCGCTCTTGCTCAGGCTGGTTTTGAACTCCTGACCTTGAGCAATCCGCCCGCCTCAGCCTCCCAGAGTGCTAGGATAACAGGCATGAGCCACTACACCTGGCCTGGAGTCCCTTAAAATTTCCACTCAAGGTGGGTAGGTGCCTCACTTGCCTTGCCCTAGGCCTAGGCCCACTTCAGCACCTCTTCTCTGTCCAGTGGCCTATTGTTTAGACCACTGGCAGAAGCAAGCAGTAGAATCTATGATCACAGAACAGGTTAAGTGAGACTGGCACACCCATGAAACACACTTATGGTCATGATCTTGTTAGTGCTACTCTATCAATCTCTGCTAACTCACAGAGACTGCACAGTTACCAGATAGAAGGAAAGGAAAATACTTACAAAGTAAAAATGAAATAGTTAATAAAATTCTTGTACCACTACATTTAAAATATAGCTGTTTTCTTCACATATTCTGAATTTATGGATTAAAGAGAAAAAGATTACCAGCTTCTTCCACTGAATACATCTCTCGCCAAAACATCCTATGTTTGTAGTCATCTTTTGGAGCATACAGGAATGTATTTAATTCCCATTTCTGGAGCCTTAAGGAGAAAGAAAATTAAACATGTATAACAGACAACATTTATAGGCTGTACATCCATTTTTTTCCTCTTCTGAGAGCATATACACATCATACAAACCTAGTAATATTTTGGCATAGTACTTTTTAACCTTTTTGTAATTTTTAAAAATTAAACATTACAATATATGTCAACAAATTAAACAATCTTAAGTAAAAACATGACAGCTCTGGGTGAGGCAGGCAAAGCCCAAAACCTATTCAGCTTCCCCAGGAAAAGTTTGAAAACCACTGGCCTAAGTGAATTAAGTAGTAAAGGACCAAGGTAAAGTAACTTCTGCAACTGAGAAATCAACAAACTGTACCCAGACTATTCAGTCTGTTAGTATTTATTTCTCCAAACAAAGGGAAATGTTAAGGGTTCAGGATTCTCCTCTCTTTCATATAACAAAAATTTACCTTCTAAAGAGTTCTTTTCTTTGTTCCAAACTCCAAGGTCTTCCATAAAATCCTAGATTCAAAGTAAGAATGAAATTATTTTCAGTTTTAAAATGTGGTAAGCTTTATTGAGAAAAACAGGTTACAAAACACACAATACAATCCCATTTTGTAAAAAATGTGTACAATACACCAAAATCTGAAGGACATTTAGTAAAACATTAAGGTTTCTTTTTTTTTTGAGACAGAGTTTCACTCTGTTGCCTGGGCTAGAGTGCTATGGCATCAGCCTAGTTCATAGCAACCTCAAAGTCCTGGGCTCAAGCAATCTTTCTGCCTCAGCCTCCCAAGTAGCTGGGACTACAGGCATGTGCCACCATGTCCGGCTAATTTTTTCTACATATATTTAGTTGGCCAATTAATTTCTTTCTATTTTTAGTAGAGACGGGTTCTCACTCTTGCTGGTTTCGAACTCCTGACATTGAATGATCCTCCGGATTACAGGCATGAGCCACCATGCCCGGCCACATTAAGGTTTCTTTATCCCTGAGTGATGAACTTCATTCCCATTTTGCTCAGGTAAATTTTATTTTTCTACCATGATAATTGTTATTTATATGATAGTTGTTTAAAAACAATTAAACCTATCATCTTTTTTCACTATCAATACAGTGGCTCATGCCTGTAAGCCCACCACTTTGGGAGGCTAAGTGGAGGTACTGCTTGAGCCCAGAAGTTGGAGACCAGCCTGAGCAACATAGCGAGACCTCATCTCTACAAAAAAATTAAAAAAAAAAAAAAAGCATTTGCACAAAGTGGCCCAAGCCCATAGTCCTAGCCACTGTGAGTCTAAGGCAGGAGGATCATTTGAGTCCAGGAGTTTGAGGTTGCTGTGAGCCATGATAATGCCACTGTACTCTAGAGGCCAGGCAACAGAATGAGAGCATCTCAATCTTACAATGGGGAATGGGAAGCAAAGTAAGCCAAGCTGCTAATTACTACCTAGGAGGAGGTAAAACTGCTTTTAGAGGGGTAAAGAGAGATAAAATGGCCCAAACAGCAAACTCTCAAGCAATCTTAATTACAGAGCAAAGCTTTGAACAAATTAAAATTCAAGAATGTGACTGACTTGCCCCAAAACGCCCCACAAGGGGGCAAAGCACTAGTTATGCACACTGCAGAAAACAAACTTGCAGACTGATGACCTAAATTGTCAAATAAGCACCAAACTGGTATTTGGAGCTCCCTAGTGTGCTAATCACAGCTTGAACCACACACACCTTACATCTTGCCTAACCTTTACTTTCCACCTGTCTTAGTCTAATCATGTCCAAAAATTAAGGACAGACAACCTCTCAGGAGCACCACGAAGATAGTTAATAAAAGCATTCTGAGGTGCAGTAGCTCACGCCTGTAATCCTTGCACTCTGGGAGGCAGAGGCAGAGGCAGGAGGATCGCTCAAGGTCAGGAGTTGGAAATCAGCCTGAGCAAGAGTGAGACCGGTCTTTACTAAAAATAGAAAGAAATTAATTGGCTAACTAAAAATATATAGAAAAAATTAGCCAGGCATGATGGTGCATGCCTATAGTCCTAGCTACTAGGGAAGCTGAGGCAGAAGGCTTGATTGGGCCCAGGACTTTGAGGTTGCTGTGAGCTAGGCTGATGCCACAGCACTCTAGCTAGGGCAACAGAGTGAGACTCTGTCTGGGGGTGCAGGGGAGAAGCATTCTGAACACAAAATGCTCTACACAAACACACATCGTCTATGTAAGAGATTAATCTAGATTGGAAATTTCAGCTCCAACCTCTAGGCAAAACTATTCCCCTGCACCACAAGAGGACAATGACAGACCAAAGAAAAATTCATTGCATACCAATGTATGCAACCGAAGCACTTTCAATCTTGACAATCCAATGTTACCCTCTCACAGGGGATAAAAAAATTCTTAATTTGGTAAAATTTACATAAGTCTTTAGCTTTCCAACAGCACTTTATCACTTTAGCATTATCATTTTTCACTTACAGGAGTAGGTATTAAACATCCCTTTAGAATTGTTTCAGTATAAAAAAGAAAGATTTTTCAGATGTCTAACTTAAGCATCTTTATCTTTAGAAACCCCACGTTGGCTCTTTTGAGACTCAGGTTCATGGTTTTGGTTGATTGGCACCACAAAAAGGAAGCAATGCTATTAACGCATGTATTAAAACCAACAAAGGTTTGTGAGAAAAAGAAAAAAATAAGAAATCCTGGCAATAACTACAGTATTCCTATACTCATTCATTTTAGAACTGGTGCCAACCAATTAGTTCAAAAAAAAAAAAATCGGTGCTGGCTCAGCTGCTCACCAAGAAAGTATATACATGGTAATGGGAGGGAGGAGGGACCATAGAAATTAGAATTGAGGACAACTTTATTCTCTAACATACGAAGAGTCTCCTTTTAATACTATTCAAAACAAACCAATTTAAGCCACAATAAGCTTTCTCCTTTAATGACTAAAGTTGTATTGGACTAGCAACTTTCTTTAGACTCACTCCAGTCTAGCTGTGAAATTTCTACAGCCCCCAGCATTCCTCAACCCTCTACCCAGTGATCTTTGATAACAAAATACAGATTCTTTTTCTAAAATATCCCTGCACTCAAACAAGCCCAGTGGATACACTAACATATAAGTCACAAAAAGCAATCATGTTTTCATAAATATTTCATACAGTAAATAGTTTTCCATTGTCTTCCCCTAAATTCTGCAGGACAGTTAACTTGGCTGAATTCTTCAACTTACTGTAACTGCATAGTCTGTTTTCCCGTACAATTAAACATTATCTAAAATAAAATACCATGACCATCACCTATCTTTTAAAAAGAATATATATAATGACAACAACAGAAAAGTTAATGCTGTTAACCAAGAGGGCAACCCTTCTTTACTTTTTCCATACCTTTTTTTGTTTTTTATAAAGACTAATTTTATACTCCTGTCTACATCATTAAGTACAGAAGGAGAGAACTAATAAGACATCTAGGAAACCCTGGGTCAGCCTAAATACTTCAGACGGTTCAAAGTATATGCTGTAGTTGAGGAAAAGAGCAATAATGTAACTGATTCGTGCTTCAAGAAAATGCGGGGTGGAATATCTGCTATTCCTATCCAGAAAGTGTGATACAATCTTTTGGTAATTTTCCCTCACTACCAAAAAAGCCCATCATTCCTTCAAATGTAAATGGGAAAGGAGACGGCAAGAAAGGCATTTTAAAACCTCTCCTGCAGTCACTAAATTAAAATTACATATCTCTGATAATTTGAGAATCTGTGACTAAAGTAAAAGCTTCATCCCTCGAGACCAAAGTACAGTAGTTGGAAAACAGGGCAATTTTCTAGGTTGCAAATGAATCTTTAAGGGGGAGCAGAGAGGCTGGCCAGCAAAAAAAAAAATCTAAGCAGAAAGGAACGTAATGGCTGTGTGTGCTTCTCTTCACTCCAGGAGTATACAAACAGCAGCGTCTGTGTGGGCTGATTTTTCCCAAAGGGTGGGAACAGAAGCAATAAACACATTTTTTTTTCATTCGAACGCACGCATCCCTAGGAAATAAGATCTCAAGGTACAAAGAAGTTTAACTCAGAGCCTAATATAACACTAGACTCCTTACCACCGCCTCCTCAGGAGTCAGTCTGGCTCCAAGCCCAAGACGGGTGCGGTCAGGCCAGCTAGCAGCCAGAGAATTCGACGCAGTTTAAGGACGTGAGGAGAAACTCGCCCACCGTCTCGTCTCTTCCCTCGTTTTAGCAGGGGGAACTTCAGACCAAAGACTTAACAGCCTTTTAGAACCCCCTGAAAGCACCGCCACCCTCACCCCCAGAAAAGAATGTGTTAGTACTGGGGCGGGCGGGAAGGAGGCCGCTCCAGTCCAGCCCGCGCCAGAGCGCTCACCTTCCACCACGCCACATAGGAATCTCCGAGCCCCTCCTGCCGCCCCGGCCACTGCCGCTCCCCCGGCCCCGGTTGGGTTGTCTTCTCCAGGGGCCGGAGCTGCCGGTGGCTCCAACGATGCCCCCGCGGAAGCAGCAGGGTTGGAGCTGAGCTCGCTCTCCCGCTCCTCCAGCGCCGCTTGGCTCTCCTTCTGCACCATTCTCCTGCCCCCGGCCACCGCCACCTCTGCGGGTCCTCCTCGGCCTCCGTCCGTTGGGCCGCAGGCCCGCAGCCCTGGAAAGGGCCTCAGCTCCAAGCGCGCGCCCCCTTGCTCCTTCCCCTCCCTCTTTGCCCTTCCCCCTCCCTCTCCGCAGGGACCCGAATGCCCGGATGAGAAGGGCGGCGGCACCGGCGCGAGCCCTTTGTCAGGCGCTGCCTCAGCCTAAGCTGGGAAGCCCAAGAGGAAATTGAGGCTGTGAGCGCTCGTTCTTTGCGAGCAGATGGCCGAGGCTCCTGTTCTCGTCCTCAGTTAGCCTCTGTTGCCCTCCCACTAATCTTGGCTATTCCGCAGCTTCCCCTCGAAGCTCCTGTCTCTCCTCTGCCGCTGCCTCTACCGCCCGCTTCCTGTTTATCCGCACTGCGCCTGCGCTGCAGACCGGCTCAGACCGGTCCCCTCCGCCCGGCTCCCCCGCCTTCTTTGGGGCTAGCCTACTAAGCTTCATTCGGTAGGGGGAAACAGAACAGAGGAGCCAGGAAAGCAGGAAGGTAATGAAGGCAGTGGAATATACCATTTATGCTTGCACCCTGGGACGGACCATTACCCCTGAAGAAGGGGAGTATGGGAGGAGGCTGCAGCTGGTTGGGGCAATCGGGAGAAGGGGGGGAGGGTAAAAAGGAGCGGTGTTTACTCTCTCAGTGCGCAGGCGCGGAAACGAAGTCTTTGGTTCTTAAAGAGATAGGAAAGAACTGACCTACTTTCTGTGGAGATTGTTGTAATAGGTTGGCTCATTACATCTGCCTGAGCCAGGTTGAGTTCTGTGAAGACATCATTCCAAGGAGCTCAGCTCGACCCTCTGCCTTGAATTATTTTCCCTAACTCTATTTAAACATGAAATCATTCGTTCATTCCTTCATTCCGTAGCCACCTATTGAGCTTGCCTTGTGCTGGGGTCCAGGGCCACTGTGAGCTCACGATACAGTACGGTGGTGGAGACAAGCAAGCACGCACACACAATTCCCACAAGGTGTACCCAGGTGTTTTCGGAGCTCAGAAGAGGTAATGACTAACTCTTCCTCTGGGGAGAGGCTGTGGCCATGGCTTCACTTTTCAACTGGATCATAAAGGATAAGTAGAAGTTAGCCTGACTAAGTGGTGAGGGAAGACAGAACTCCGGGCAAGTGGAACAACAGAGTACAAAGGTAGAAAGGGGTGAAAAGCCTGGCTTGTTTGGGAATGGAGAGCAGTGGAAGGGACCTGAGATCTCTTGGGTCTCCGCATAAACATCATTTTCTTGGGAAGCCTTCCCTGAGCCCTTGATGGGTTTGGGTCCCCTTGCTATATATATGTTCTCAGAGCTCCCTGTAGTCCTATAAGAATCACTTTACAGGTATGTTGGTTGAGAAATCTTGTCTCAATTTGTGAGGTATAATGTGAAATTAGGATCTCAGTCTCATTCTGATTATTTATTTATTTTTTTTTTTTTGAGACAGAGTCTCGCTTTGTTGCCCAGGCTACAGTGAGTGCCGTGGCATCAGCCTAGCTCACAGCAACCTCAAACTCCTGGGCTCAAGCAATCCTCTTGCCTCAGCCTCCCGAGTAGCTGGGACTACAGGCATGCGCCACCATGCCCGGCTAATTTTTTCTATATATATTAGTTGGCCAATTAATTTTTCTATTTATAGTAGAGACGGGGTCTCGCTCTTGCTCAGGTTGGTTTCGAACTCCTGAACTCAAACGATCCGCCCGGCTCGGCCTCCCAGAGAGCTAGGATTACAGGCGTGAGCCACCGCGCCCGGCCTCATTCTGATTATTAAGACTCAGTACTGTCCATCTTACCCTTCAATGTGATATGTGATTCCTCTAACCACAGCCCAACTTGTAGCTCCCAGGACTCTTACAGTCCATCTTCTTTTTAGACCTGGATTGTTGAGGTAGGGGTTAGGAGCAAGCATTTTCTTAGGGGACCTCCTGTGCTGACAGTTGGGGGCCATAAGCAACTTCACTGGATATTATGGTCCGTGGGGATTTGGGGGCTGTCATTTTGGCTGATCTCAGCCCTTAGTCTCATATTTTCCTCTTTCCTCATGGCAGCTGCCAGGAAGTCAACAGCCACAACTTCATCTACTCTCCACTGTCCAGACTCTGGGGCCTGGAATCCAGGCAAGATCAACCTTCCATATCTGCATTTCTCAAACTTGAGAAATGTGTGGTTCTTGCCACGTATTGGCTACACACTTTCCCTCCATGCCTCTCCCCTATACACCTCTCCCCTCCACCCCCCTCAGCACCTACAATGTGAACCACTGCTTAGTAGGCCTATGATAAATATTTGTGGAATTAATGAGCTTCATTCCCTCACATATTTTACATTCTGTTTGGAGAAACAGACAATAATAAATGCAGTATGTACACAGGAACTCACAGTTTATGATAAGTGCTATGAAGGGAGGAAACCTAGGGATGTGATAAATAGTAACTGCAACAAACAGGGACTACTTGAAATGGACAAATAGGAAGCAGTATTCTAGGTGAGCAATGATAGTAGCTTGGCCTAGGGAACAGCATCAGAGACAGAGAGAGGTGGTGTACCTTTGGTGATTGGATTGGTGATTGATTAAATGGAGTTGGGGGACAATTAGGGAGAGGAAGAAATAAAGACTCTTAAATTTTGACCCGAGTAACTAGGTATCATTTACTGAGTTGGGGAAGACTTGGAAGGCATGAACCTAAGTTCCATTATGAAGATGTTAAGTTGGACCATTACAGGTCTACGTGAAAGTACCAAATAGATAATTGGATATGTAGGTGTTGGCTATCAGGAGAGTTCTGGGGATATAAACTTAGGAGCCTCTGCAAATTCTGTGTTTAAAGCCACTGGATTAGAAAAGCTGTGAGACCAAGACTTAGAATTCAAGTTGACAAGGGAGGGCTGAGAAGGGGTGGCCAGAAAGGTAGGAGGAAAACCAGGAGAGTAGGAAATACTGGAAGGCAAGAAAGGAGAGTATTTTGGGATGGAGCAGCTGACAACATTCAGAACCCAACCAATGGCTGAGACAAATGATCTGAATGTCAACCTGCTGGTTTTTTCTGGATCCCATCTGTGGAATTCACTAGCAATTCCTTGCTTCAAACTTCAATATCCCCTAAACTTGGATTTATTCTTAAAAATGGAGACTGTCTCCATACCCGACCCAGTTATGTACATACACTCACTGTGCTCATTCATACAATAATAAAAATATCTATTGAATATCTATTATGTACCAAACCTTGGGGATAAGATGGTGAGGGAAAAAAAAACCTAGTCCAAGCACTCAAGGAGCCCTCAGGAATTTGGTGTATTGGAGAAAACAAGCAAATAATTACTCAAAGAAATATATGGTTACAAACTGAGAAATGCCATGAAGGAAAAGCAGAAGATACCAAGAGAACCTGTCACAGTGTCACCTTCTTATTTTATCCATGACATGCATAGCATCCATCCTTCACACACAAATCATTACTGTGACCCAAGGCACCCCTTGACAGAGACTTGGGGCACTGGGTCTAGTCTCCATCCTGTTACAAACTCACTGGGTGATCTTGACCAAGTTCTCCCTTCTCTGAGCCTGTTTATTCTTCTGTAAAATGGAAGGCTGAAGGGTAAACTAGACCATGGATACTTAACTTAGGACCCATAAATGGATTTCAGAGATACAAAAGTACATGGGGGAATATTGCATTTTTTTCCTTCTGGAGAAGTGGGCTCACAGCTTTCATCAGATCTTTAATCTGGTGACCCAAAGAAACCCAAGGACCCAAGGAGAAGATAGTTCTGTGATATTAGCAGGGAACACAAATGACAATGTACTCTGAAAGTGAGTTTTTGCTTCTTGGATTCATACTCTTCTCCTGATATTGTCAATGTGTACAGGTGAAGGAGGAAAAAGCCTGATCCTCCTTCCATGGATGGTAAAGCTTAGTCACCACATAATGGTACCTCAGAAAAAGGATGGGAGGAACCTACCATTGATGGCCCATCTTCAGGAACAGAACAACAAAGAGTGGGAACACACAGAAGTCTCTATCACCTTTTGTGCCACCTGCCCCATAGTAACTTGCCCTGGGTCCACTGCATCTGATTCCCCCATCATTGCTGGCTGGACACACAGACACAAATGTATATCTATACAGAAGGCAAGGTTGGGATGTTTACAAATTCCCCTCAAAAGAAAACACTTTGAGATTAATTAAGAAGTCTGGAAATTAGAAATTCTTGATTCATCTTGTTAGAATATCTGCCAAAAGACAGCTTTCTTGGCATAGTCTTTAGGACATTGGCATCTGTCCTTGTCTCCTCTCAGGATGTGGGAAGGAGATTCATGCGATCAGGTGGGCTTCCAACCGTTCCGGAACTTGTATCTCAGTTTCTTACCAAGGTATGGCCAGACCATGGAACAGGCACCTTCTTGGGGATTTAAAAAACTGCAGGTGTATGAGTTAGGGGTTCTGTGGTATTTATGGGGTGGAGGGGACAAAAAGAGACAGCAGCCTATGCATAGCCATTGTGTTTTATTGGATCTGGTATATTATTTTATAAAATATACAGAAAAGCAAAAAATGCAAAGCAGTCAACAGTGTTCTCATGGGAAAGGGGGCTTCCTGCGGGTCCTTCCCCTCAGATTCTGGCTGACTAGGAAGGTGAGCTGAGTGGGACAAGCAGATACGTTAAGGGTGGCAGCATGGCAGGGGTGTGGACAATGAGGTGGAACCTAGGTCCTATGGTCCCCACCCTCTAGGTGTGTTCAGGGGCATCTGTGGGTAGACTGAGTAGATCAAGAGGAGACCCTAGGGAATTGAGGAAATTATGTGAGAGGCTGGGGTAGAGCCTGGGTTGATGGAAGAGTATAATGAATGTTCCACACTGGGTTCACTATACCTGCTATACCTGTCTCCCTTCTTGTTTTTCCATCTAAGGCATCCACTGGAGAGAATGATAGGAACCAGTTTAGAAAGGTGCCTAACTCACTCCATGTTTCTAAGTCTAGAGAACATAACCACTGAAAACTCAAGTCATAGCCATCAAAACAGGTGATGAGCAGGGAGAGTAGTTTGAAACTTTAGCAGGCATCAGCCAGGGCATCTTCTAGCCCTATTCCCTGGCCACTACTACCACCAACACATGCAGGAAAGAGGGAGAAAAAGGAATTATTCCAGGGATGAGCCAGATAACTGGATCCCAGTCTCTCTTTGGAAACTGAGGAGGGTATGGAAAATTTCTAGGGTATTTCTAAGGAGTCAAGGTCTTCTGAAAAGCCTAGAAACTCATATTTTGATGGGCTGGGGTAGCAGACCTGGGGAACTTGGAGCTATAGCCTGGCATGCCTGAGCTCTCACAATCTACCCATGTGTTTGTCTGTCTGTCTGTCTGTCTCTCTCTCTCTCTTTTTCTTTTCAAATGAAACATTGTCCCAGATCATCCAGATATGCCCATGCTTTTCTGTTCTCTACCCCAGATACTTCCTAGGACCTAACCACTGACTTAGGCCCAAGGTTTCTCCCTCTACATTTTTGTCTCCCTCCCACAGGGCTCTCAAAGGTTGGTGTAAAAAGCCAGCCAGTGCCAAGGACAGAGAATCCTCTTTGAGAAGGGAGTCTTAGGGGAAATGTTTATGAGATCAGGGATGGGGGAGCACCATAGCAGGAAACAAGTGTTGTGGTTTCTAAAGTGGGGGTGAGAGGTGGGGAACCACCCAATTCTTACAGCAAGGGCACCCTCAGCACTGCGTATGAGGCAGGGGGGAGGTGAGACTGTTGGGAGTTGGGAACACTCCCCAAATGCACTCTACCCACTCTCATATAAGTACCGCGCTAACTGATTGCACCACTGGAGCTCCCACTCTGCCTGTTCTCTAGCCCCTTCAGCTCCAGGGATCTAGACTAATGAATCCCCAGGCTCTTGGATCCCTACAGCCTCCAGGGTAGGGCCAGGATGAGGACAGACCTGGGAAGAGAAGGGTGAGGTCTGCCTGGACTAGGGCTAGAACATGTTCCCCCAAAGACACACTGACCCCCTCTCCTGGGGAGCTAGATGACATTGTCAAAGAGTTGCATGGACTTCATGATGTTCTCATCCTATGGCCATAGTGTGACAGAGGCAGATTGGAGAGACAGAAAGAGAAAGAACTTGTCAGAGACCGGGAAAGGGACATTGAGTCAAAGTTGGGGACATTCAGAGGCAGAGAGAAAGGAGATACCCAGAGAGACCTGAGGTGGGGAAGGGGAAAGCCTCCCCCAAAGAAACAAAATTGGGGTGCAGGGGTGAATTAGGGAGGCAGTACTCTACCCAAAGGGGCCATTCCCTACATTACTGACTCAGGCCTGAGTCCAAACCAGGGTAAGGTAGAGTGCAGGGACCCATACCTTTTGGCAAGACTCAATGAATTCCTCAATGGTCACCACACCATCCTTGTTTCTGTCCATCTTCTGCAAGAAGGTGGTCAGATAGGGAGAACAGAAAAGAGGGCAAGAGAGAGGAAGGCAGAACTCAGGTAAGTTCCCTCCTCATTCTTGATCTCCTTGCCTTCACACCAGGGCGCCCTCCAGCCTACCCAGTCCCAGGCACCTGGAAGAAGTTTTCCACGTGTTCCCTTGGGGCCTCCTCCCGGAGTGCTGGATACGTGTACTTGCCCATCATGTCATAGATGGACTTCATGATGTCAAGCATTTCCTGTTAGGCCAAGAGAGAAGAGGATCCCTCCTCAGAGCCTCCAGCCTCCAGACCAAGAGGCCTAGGGCCTAGGGCAGACCATACCCCCCTTGCTGGTGGTGCATATGTGGGTCATATTTCCCTCCCATGGCCGTTTGCATCACCCCTACCCTCACAACCCCCTAGCCCTTCAGTTGCCCTGCACCTCCTTGGTGATACAGCCATCCTTGTTGAGGTCATACAGGTTGAAGGCCCAATTCAGCCGGTCATCTACCGTTCCCCGAAGAATAACCGACAAACCAGCCACAAAGTCCTAAAAAGGAGGCGGGAGGAGCTGTGTCTTCAGATACTTTTCACACATCCCTTCTTTTGGGTTTGGCCTGGAGATCCTGACCCTGAAGTCCCAGGAAACAGGGTTCCCTGGCCCACCTCCCCCAGCTTACCTCAAAACTGACTGAGCCATCATGGTTGGTGTCAAAGGCATTGAAGAGAAAAGTGGCATAGGTGCTGGAGTCTGTAGGATGAGTGTGGAGAAGTAAGTTTGGCTTCCAGACAGGGCAGGATTTTCACCTCTATGGAGCTCCGCCAACCCCCTCATCACATTGGCATTCCCAGCCCTCCAGAACACTCTCTCCCACTCAGCCTAGAGATGGACAGCTGCTTCCCCTTGGGCCTTGACCCCTCACCTCCTTGAGGAAAGAACTGGGAGTAAATCTGCTTGAAGTTCTCTTCACTGACAATTCCACTGGGGCATTCCTGGGAGAGGAGAGAAATCAAGATGAGGGCAGAGACAAAACCCCCTCTGCTCACTTCCCCCCCATGGCCAGAGACCCAGAGAAATAGGGAAATTTTTCATGCCTCCAGGGACTCACCAGCTCTAGTGATGGGAGCCAAGACTTCTTCCCCAGAGCACAAATAAAAAACACGGAGCTAAAAAAAGGCTAGAAGTTTGGTCTGAGGCCCCACCTGCCTTCCATCTCGCTGGTATCCAGGCCATACTTTCTGGATAGGCCCTGCCCTTGCTGCCCCAACCCTGGCTCAGTTTGGCCTCGCCATGCACTCACGTTCTTGAAGCCTCGGTACAGGACCTGCAACTCCTTGCGGGTGAACTTGGTTTGCTCCTGCAGCTGTTCCAGACCCTCAGGCCGGTGACACACGGTGGACAGTTCAAACTCATCCTCCACGCTGTCTGCGGGGAGCGGTGGGGGTACAGCCACGCCTCAGGCCCCTGCTACCCCTCTTTAGAATCACTGATCCATATACCCTCCTCCCTGTCCCATCTCCAACACCGGAAACCATGTCAGTTCCCGGACCCTGAGCCGAGGACATCGAGGCAAGTAGAGAAGGCGCTGGTCAGCTTCCAGGTCTGTCAGCAGGCCAAGGCCAGCCCTGACCCCAGAGCCAGGGATTCGACTCAGAGCTTGCCCCAGGGCCCTTGATCCCTGGTTGGAGGGGAAGGCCCTCAGCCACATCTTCATCCCAGAAAAGGAGGAGTGGGAAAAGCCGGTTCCAATGGGCATCTGAGGGTCAGAGCTCCGCGCCTTCCTTGACCAACTCAGATACACCCAGCCTTAGCCTTGCCCCTTCCAGTTCTTCCCCTCCCCCAGCCAAAGCCCGTCAATCCCAGCCATGCCAGAGCCATGCCCCGCCCAGCTTCAGCCTACATCCATCCAGACCCCACCCTTGGCCCCACCCCCGGCCCCATCTCAGTCCCGCCCCAGTCCCCAACGCCCAGCCCCCAGGCAAGTGGCCCCACCCGAGCTCCCGAAGCCCCACTCCCACCCCGCCCCCGCCCCCACCAGGAGAGTAAGTCACCTGGGTCCAGCGGGCGGGGTCTGTGGGGGCGGAGGGAGGCTGGGGCGGCTAATTCTGAAGGGAGCGAACTGTCACCGAGAAAGCGGAAGACCGGGCCAACTGCAGACACACACCTCGCCCCTCACACTCACAGCAAATCTCACAGACCTGTGCGTTACAATGCTCACACCCCGGCCCCCGCGCAAAGGCACACCTAACGAACACAAGACATACACGAAATGGACCCCACGCACACAAGCTTGCAGGACTCACGCCTCTCCTATTTCCAAATCCACCCTCGTGTGGGACCCATGGAAATCAAACACAACAGCACGCTCAAATAACTACAAAACGGGCCTTTATAGCTTGCAAATGCAGTATAATCCTATGAGATGGGCGAGGCCCTACTGAGGACACAGATATCTAGAAACAAAGCGAGGTAACTAAACTCCAGGTCACTCAGCTGGGGACCAGGCGGTGACAGAAAACCCAAGTATCCTGGCGTCTGGAGGAAGGCGGGCTCTATCCTCTACACCTGCAACCATCCTGTCGGGGCACAGGCGACATACATCTCGAGGCCCAAAACATACCCAGGGCGGGTCGGCCACACAGACGTAGGCACTAACTCAGCTCAGCCACTCAGACCCTCACAGCCGCCTGGTCCCGCCACCGTCATATTGGCCACAGCCTCTCAGGCTCGGGCTCGGCCCTGCCACACTGGCCGCGCCCAAACACCCTGGTCCTGCCCTATTGCGCAGACTGGTGACGCCCACAGACACTCTGGCCACGCCCCAACTGACCATGCCCACACGTACCTGCTCAATCTACGCACATGGCCACGCCCCCTCACACTCGGGCCCAGCCAGTGCCCGCCCCCATTCCCGCCACACTGGTCACACCCACACACATTCAGGCCCCGCCCCCGGAAGCACAGGAGAGGCACTTGCTTTCACTGACTGAGGGCAGGGCTTGGGGCCCGCAGCAAGGCAGCAGCTTGAGGAACCGCTGCTTCAGCGCTTTTTTAGTGGGCCCTGGAGGGTGGCCTGGTAAGAGAGAAGATCCCAGGAAGGCACATTAACTCCCACTGTGCCTCCATTCCCTGTCCCCTCCCCGACAGTCACAATCAACCCAAGCTGGGGCCAGGGGCTGGGAGAGGAATGGGGTGAGGAGAGGAAAGGAACAGCCAGGGTAGCTGGGCCTGGGTTAGGGGACACAGTGGGTCTCAAAAGCATGGAAAGTTCATAGAGGCAGGGGTCAGGCACTTTGTACAGTGGAATGTGGTTGATGACAGTGAGGTGCAAGGAGGAGGGGGCAGTGGCCTCAAGTGTCTTTGCTGACCCAGTGCCCTTGGCTCAACTGCCATGGCGGGACTTCTCAAGGTGATAACCAACCCAAGGATTCCCTGGGTAGGAACACCTCTCACACACACATACAGTGACAGCCATGTATAGTGACCTGTGGAATGATAAATCACAGAGTGATGGATGCCGGTGACAGCTTGATATCCAGCAACTCACACCCAAAGGGCTAAAAACATGCTCCAACACACACATACATATACACACACATTTTGACCAAGTACTCCTTAATACAAATATACAATTGTGACCCGAAGTAAAACCTGGCGCACATATGGAGACCCATATAGGCCATCTCACACAGCATGATCAATCCACAGAACACACAATGACCCTGGGACATCATGACACTGTGTGTTAAAACACTATGACACATTGTGACCTTATAACATTATGACACATATTAAGATTGCATGACACATACCCATGTCATACTGTGACCTAGGTCCCCATGGCACCCAGATATCTGTGGCTGTACCTCACCCACAGAGGCTTCATTTTTCCTGGGTACATCTACTTTTCTTTCCTGTAACCCCCGATTCCAGGGTATCCAGAATCTTCCTGCCAAAGAGCAGGGTTCCTCATCAGCTAACTCATCTACCCTATATTGTGACTCTTTCCCAGTCCTTTCCAGTATGGTTTGCTCTTTGAAAGTAAATGATACAAAATGATGATGCAATAACAGATCTTGGAGGTGGACATGAATATTTTTAGTACATTATGGGGCTATTTAGGGCCCATTAATCACAGCCCTCCTCTCCGCCCCTTATTTCTGCACATGTCCTACAGCTTTAATTGCACCCCAGGAGGACCTTTAGTCCTAGGGGACAAATTTGTGTCTATGTGTGTCTCTATGCTGCATTCACCCCCAGATTCCTGTGCCAGAGCCCACTGGACCTGCCACATTGGCTAAAGTTGGCCTCAGTCAATTCTTGGAGGGGTCCAACATTTTTGGTTATAGGTAACTTCCCACTCCACCCCCCACTCCCCACCTGGCCCTCCCAAACCAGGCTCCACCCTCAGGACCAGGCCCTGCTCCCAGGAGGTAACTGCCTCCCCTCCAACACGTCCTCACTTCCCTCCCACCCCAGGAGCTATGGAGAGGCGGGGGAGGGATCGATGGTGGCCTGGCCTCTCGCCCAGGGCTCCATTAGCCCGGACTTTGGTTTCCTGAAGCCGGATTGTGCCTGCCTCCAATGGTATAGTCACCTGACTAGGGGGTGGCTTTTCCACTTCCCACCTGCCCAGCAAGCCCCCTGCCTGTTCCCAAGCCTCTGTCTCCTCTAGGCTCCACTGAAGGTGGGAAGAGGCTGCCTTCAACAGACAGGTCACCTGGGTTTCTCAGATGGCCCTTTTTCCCACCAAATAGTCTAAAGGGGATGGCAAGGTAGAGGCCAGATGACTTCCTCTTTTCCAGATTGTATAAGAACCACCTCAACCTAGCCTACCCAGTTCATCTAGGTGCAACTCCCTGTTCCCCAGTTCACCCCAGAAAATGCAGCAGAGGGGAGAGGGTGAGCTAGGAGTTTTCAGCCCTTACTAGATGAGGCAATTCATGGACCTTCCTCCTATCTCCAACTTCCTTCACCTCTTTCCTGCTCTCCCAGGTGTCTACCCTGTAGTCCTATCATGGTTCCTGCCTGTCTTCCTGTCCCTGGTAAAACTGGGGAACAGCCATGCTATGGAACTGTGCAGTTCTTGGTGTGAGGATGGGGGGGAGGTCAAAACTCTGGAGGGGGTGGCAGAAGTGTTTCTCTCTCCACCTACAAATCACTCCCTAATGACTTTAAAGTGGGGTGGGGAATTGATTTCCCACTCCCAGTGTCTAGCTCCTGGAGGCCATTCTGCCCCTGGATCCTCAGAGCAGCCTGGAGAGGCAAGGCGCTTGGGAAGCAGGGTCTCTGACCTGATCCACTTCTCACCCCCCAGCCAGAGCTGAGCTATAAATGTCTCATCACAGTGTTCCCACTCCTGTCCCTCCAGAACCCACCCCATCCCCAGCCTTGGTTATGGAGCAGGTATATCCTCAGGGAAGTCTGGAAACAGCCATACACACAACTGGATACTCAAAGAGGCTCAGCCACACACCCTGTCCCACTTGGGCACAGTCACATCCACCACCTCACAAGCCACATGTCTTGTCACCCTAACACACGCAGTCACATCCCTGCCACATACACAAGCTCAGCATCACATACTTTGTCCTCTCTCACACACATCACACACAGTCACACCCTGTGTCTCTCACACACTGAGTCCACATGCACCCCTTAACCTACACTGCACACTTGGGGGTATGGAGAGTCATACACATTTTCAGAACTATTGTGAGCCCGGCTCCAAAAGGGACTCCTCAGAAATCTGGTGTATCTCAGATATCTGGAACCTCCCTCCTCTACTCCAGACACCCCTGCCTGTCTCCGGACTCTTCCTGGTCTCCCCAGAATCTTCTTACCTCCTCATCTCCATGCCCCAGTCCTCCCACACTGCAACCCAACTCCCAACACTCTGTCCCTGAGATTCCCTCCCCCCTCCCTCATATCTATTCCTTGAGGCCCTCCCTTTATCTCTCCCAGATCTGTATTCTCCAAGCACCCCTCCTCACCTCCCCCATGCCTATCCCATCACTCACCTGCTCACCCCTGCCAGCAGTCATGAAGATGGAGCAACCCCCTCCCCAACGCTGCAGGGACAGCTGACCCCTCCAGCCAGCAGCTCAGACATGCCCAGACACCTGGGTTACCTTCCAAGGAGACAGGCTCAAAGAGGCCAAACTGCTCCAGGACCTTGACAAACAGACCGAGGACCACGAGCACGGCGACCATCTCCAGCCCTTCCAGGTTCATGGTGGGCCCCAGGCATGGCCCCCACCCCGCTGAGTCTCTGATATGGCTGCTGGCCGGCTGCCTCACACCACCTCCCCCTCAGGTTCCCCAGCCTGAGTCGGACTGCCCGCGGCCTCCCTCCCCTTCTCCCTCCCTGCATCTCCTCCCTCTCCCCCCTCACCCCGCCTCTGCCCCACATGCCTCCCAGCCACAGCCACCGCCTCTTCCTCTTCGAGGGGCCACCTCAGCTTTTGGACTGGCACCTCCTTGAGAGCCTTTGGTGCAGGTGCAAAGAATATGGACCGGAACAGGATAGGACATGAGCCAGAAGAGGGAGGCAGTGACCTGTCTCTGTCCCTGAGGAGCACTTTCCCCCAGACACACTGTGGCCACTCTGTGTCAAAGGGAGGGGGCAGAGAGAGGAGCTGTGCTTAGGGCGCAGGCAGGAAGGGCAAGGTGCCTGAGAGAAACCATATTGCACATATGCAAGTAATAGTGTATGGGTCCGAATATGTTACCAGTGTCTAGTGTTTTCCTGTGTGAATATTCCTGTTTGCTGGTATGGGAGTACAGGTCTCTTCTTATGTGTGTCTGTATGTGTGTTTACACATGATTGTGCACCTGTCACAGAGGTGTGTGTTTTGTACATGATTATGCATTTCTACTCCTGTGTATATGTGACCTGCGTGTCTATAGTATACGTGTAAGAGAGTGTGTCAGAGTGTTTCTGAGTGTGTATGGGGAGTGAGGTTTCTGTGTTTTAGTAGGGCCATGGGATGTGAGTCTGAAGTGTGTTAGGCATGGGTGTGTCATGTAATTTGGAGTATGGGTCTATGGTCGTGTCATTGTATCAGCACAGCATTGTATGAGAATATAAGGGCAGGGAGAAGGCAGTGATCTCTCCTGTTAGGAGGACACCACCACTGGTGTCATCGATCTGGTTGCCATGGAGACTGTGAGGCAGGAAGCACTCTCTTCCCACAGGCCACAGACAGTGAAACTGAGGCCCAAGGGAGAGAGAATTAGGTCCAGTAGCTTGGGGAGGAAAAAGGCTGCTTAGCCCCATCATGGCCCTCTGGGGAGGGAACTTATTGCAACTGTCTTTGGGACCAAGAGACCCAAGCTCCTTGGGAGAGGAGGGGAGCTACATTCTCCCCATCCTCTGGCTAGAACCTCACTCAGGAGATGCCAAAGCCCTGCCTGCTCCTTGGGAACTGTTATTGAGCTGACAGAGAAGCCCAGGGTGGGAAGGAAACCTGAGACCTCAGAGAAAGCCACCCCTCCCCCCAGCATTCCTGGAGTCTCTCCCTCCTCCTTCCTGGTCGTGGTGGTGGTGGTGGTGTCTGCCCCTGCTCCTTCCTGGTGGGGTGTGTGTGTGTGTGTGTGTGTGTGTGTGTGTGTGTATGTCCCTGCTTTTTCCTAGTGGAGGGTGGGGGGAAGGGGGTGTGTCCCTGCTCTTTCTTGGTGGAGTGTGTGTGTGTGTGTGTGTGTCTGTGCCTGTGTGTCTGTCTATGTGGAGGGAGTTGGGGGAGGGCCTGCAGAGCCAGTGAGCCACAAGACTAGGGCCTCAAGGTTAATAACACCTAACACCACTAATACCTCTGGCTACCGGTGATTGAGCACTCACTATGTGCTAGATAATGTGCTATGTGCTTACAGACAGTATCACATTGAATGTTCACAATAAACCTATTATTCCCACATTACAGGTGGGGAAACTAAGTCAGAGGGAGGTGACACAAATCTCCAAGATCAGAGCTTCAATTTTAACCCAGTCTTGACTCTGAGCCTGTACTCTAAACCACCATACTCCATTGGCTCCCTTCTTAGAAAGTTTATCTACCCATGAAGTCCAGTTTA